AGGGGTTCGTTACAAATGTCTGAAATACACATATGCTATACTGATCTGGGTCACAACACACATAAACATACGTGTTGTGACCCATATCAGTATAGCATATGTGTATTTCAAACATTTGTAACGAACCCCTGTGGTCTAACGCTGGCCTCTTTATGCAGTTGTAACTCATGAAACACATTCTGAATGAGACTCACACAATTACAGTGGTACCAGCTCGTCAAGCTTCAACGAAAGTTTTCTCATATGCAGTTATAACTCTTCAAGTACCTTCTGAAATTGACTCACATACACACTTACAGTGTCCACTCATAAAGCACCTTCTAAAATTGACTCGCATACACACTAACAGTGGTAACTCATTAAGCACCTTCTAAAATTGACACACATACACACATACAGCTGGTCACTCATTGAGCTTCATCGAAAGTTGAAAATTAATACAATAAAATGTGTCCATGGCACTAAGACATCATTTTTTGAAATCCATATAAACAGTACTTTTGACGTCATTCCTATAAACACAATGTTAAATTTCTTCCGTAAAACTTGTTTTGGCCAATACGATAATCACGGTGGAACTTAAAAGAAATTGAAGATGCTTTTATTCATATAACCAACAGAAGCGGGGGATAGTGTTGTAACTCTGTGCAAAAATCGTCAAAATAAGACGAAAACGAAGTCAGGAAAATTTATATTAAAAAAATAACTAACCCAATATCCTATCGGAAAATAACGGAACGTGAAAGACTTCAATGACACGTCACTGTATATTTCTCGTTTATTTTACAGTACAAGCCGAATAACCTTCGCTAAAATTATCTTGTCCCGTATTTCAAAGAATTTAAATTTCAAAGCATACATGAGCAAGGTCCATTTATAAAGTAAAGTAAAAGTGAGTTAATGTATTCCTATTGCCCTGTATAACAGTTTGTCCTACATCAATCACGTTCGTTGTTCCCCAGGCGTTCTAGTAGTAGTAGGAGTAATTCTATTTTAATGGCAAGCGACAACGTTTCTTCAGTTTTGATTGACAAACATATTAACATAAGAGATATCTATCTCATATAGAATGCTATTTTTACAGCCACGCCCCCTTTACTAATTGAGGCCATAGGCAGAAGTTTGCTGTACTTATTCCGTCTTTGCGTATTGCAGAGTTATCTTCTCTTGGGAGCATGTATTGATTGTTACGTCATTGGTCTGAGCGAGAAAATTACGTTGTTTTCTCAAAAATTGATGACGTTACTCTCACAAACAAGTGACGTAACAATCAATACCTGCTCCCAAGAGAAGATAACTCTTCAATACGCAAAGACGGAATGAGCTGTAAGTTTGAACATTCATCAAATTTTTAACTTTAAAAATAATTATAGTTTGTAAATCTATCTCAAATATAACCGATCAATGAAGTTTTACAAACAATACTTGGTACATTTTAACCCACAGTTTGAGTGTTTAACAAATAGCAGCTTTCACCTCGATTTCATTTCAATTTCTATGCTTGTATAAATGCATGCACATCGTCACTGATGTGAGAGTCTTTATATGTCCCAGTTTATACAGCGTCACTGATGTAAGAGTATTGATATGTCCCGGTTTATACAGCCTCACTGATGTAAGAGTATGTATATGTCCGTGTAAATACAGCGTCACTGATGTAAGAGTATTGATATGTCCCAGTTTATACAGCGTCACTGATGTGAGAGTATTGAAATGTCCGGGTTTATACAGCGTCACTGATTTGAGAGTATTGATGTGTCCGGGTTTATACAGCGTCACTGATGTAAGAGTATTGATATGTCCCGGTTTATACAGCGTCACTGATGTAAGAGTATTGAAATGTCCGGGTTTATACAGCGTCACTGATTTGAGAGTATTGAAATGTCCGGGTTTATACAGCGTCACTGATGTAAGAGTATTGATATGTCCCGGTTTAAACAGCGTCACTGATGTGAGAGTCTTGATATGTCCCGCTTTATACAGCGTCACTGACGGTAGAGTATTGGTATGTCCGTGTTTATACAGCGTCACTGATGTAAGAGTATTGATATGTCCGTGTTTATACAGCGTCACTGATGTAAGAGTATTAATATGTCTGGCTTTATACAGCGTCACTGATGGTAGAGTATTGATATGTCCCGGTTTATACAGCGTCACTGATGTGAGAGTATTGATATGTCCGGGTTTATACAGCGTCACTGATGGTAGAGTATTGATATGTCCCGGTTTATACAGCGTCACTGATGTGAGAGTATTGATATGTCCCAGTTTATACAGCGTCACTGATGGTAGAGTATTGATATGTCCCGGTTTATACAGCGTCACTGACGTTAGAGTATTGATATGTTCCGGTTTATACAGCGTCACTGATGTAAGAGTATTGAAATGTCCGGGTTTATACAGCGTCACTGATGGTAGAGTATTGATATGTCCGTGTTTATTAAATTATTTTTTCATTTTTTACAAGGCAAGACAAAACATTACAGCGTCACTGATGGTAGAGTATTAATATGTCCCGGTTTATACAGCGTCACTGATGTAAGAGTCTTTATATGTCCCGGTTTATACAGAGTCACTGATGGTAGAGTATTAATATGTCCCAGTTTATACAGCGTCACTGATGTAAGAGTATTGATATGTCCGTGTTTATACAGCGTCACTGATGTGAGAGTATTGATATGTCCCAGTTTATACAGCGTCACTGATGTAAGAGTATTTATATGTCCGTGTTAATACAGCGTCACTGATGTAAGAGTTTTTTTTTTTTTTTTTTTTTTTTTTTAAATTATTTTTTCATTTTTTACAAGGCAAGACAAAACATATATGACATTGTTCCTAAGTACATGATTGTTCATACATATTAAACAAAGATCATCATCATCATCAGACATCATCATCATCATCATATAAGATATTATTATTAACACATAAGCAGATATTAAGCAAAAAATTGCCAATGTCATGTACATACATAAAGACATACACTGAGACACTGATGCAAAAACAATATATATAAACCTATGACATCAAACACACAAGAGAAAAACCAAATAAACTGAAACCGAAAAAAAAACCACACAAAACTTTACAGGGGATGGGGAGCACTCCTAGGTCTTTATATTTTAACTTAAGCCTGGCGAATTAAAATGTATGAAATATTTGATGATTATTATTACAGTGAGGAGACGATAAGGTACAATAGATGCATATATGTATAGAACAAATATGTCATATATATATATATATATAGTCATATTATAATTGCATTCAGTTATCTATTTGATGGTTTAACTCATCCTTATTTATTAATTTATTCTGTTTATACACAAGGATCTTTTGTGCTTTTAATTCAAATTTTATATGGTTTTTGAGACTAGTCAGATTAAGGTCAATTTCTAGGCATTTAGTTTTATATATGTATTGTTTTATAAGTAGTATTATGATGTTTTCTTTATAAAACTTTGAGTGGTTATATGTATGTTTACCAAAAAGGAATTCTTGTTTTTCAAATCTTAGTGTAAGGTTTTTAGTTATAATATTTGTTTTCAGCTCGTCAATTAGCCTATCAATTTTTTCGCAATCCCATAGCATATGAACTATTGTTTCAGGGTGAATTTTACAGAAAGTGCAAAGGTTATTGTGTGATTTGCCAATTTTGAATAAAAATGTGTTTGTAGTGAGAATTCTGTGGTTTATTCTGTACTGTAGCCACTGTAGTTTGGAGTTGGTGGTGGTTTTAAAAGGACATTCATATATTTTTTTCCATGTTTCATCATCTATATTTTCATTTAATATCCATTTTCTTTGAGCAGTAGGTTTAACATTATTTTTAATTAATATTAAATATATGTCTTGTGCTCCTTTACTATTTTTAAGTATTAACTTAAGATTTATAGGTATATTTGGAAAGATAACCGTTTTTTCTGAAGTAAAATATGATGATTTTTTCTTATAAAATGATGCACAGCATTCTTTAGGCCTTGGTATGTCAAAATATTAGTATTAATGTTATATTTTTCTTGAAATTCTTCAAAGTGGTAGAGTGATCCATCCTGTTTAATAACCGCGTTATATACAAATTGTACTCCCTTTTTAAACCATGAATTTTTGAATGTAAATTTTCTGTCAATTTTAATTTCACTTTTGAACCACAGAGGGTTTTCACGTATATTTGTATTGTATATATTGCTAGAGATAATAGTATGTGCAGAAATTCTCTGGATGAAACTTTAAAAGATCTCTCCCCTATTATGCAAAAATATCAGGATTAAAAATGAATTTCTCCAAGACCCAGGTCGTGTGGATTGGCAGCAAAAAATATAGTGGAAACACTTACACAACAGATTGCAATTTACAATGGGGAAGTACAACTTTCAATTTGCTAGGGATAGACTATGATGTAGACTTACACAGAATTACAAAACTGAATTTTGATAAAAAAAAAACCTTATAAAACTAAAATCTCTTATATCATCATGGAATAGATGTAAGTATTGACATGTCCGGGTTTATACAGCGTCACTGATGTGAGAGTATTTTAAAATATGTCCCGGTTTATACAGCGTCACTGATGTAAGAGTATTGATATGTCCGTATTTATACAGCGTCACTGATGGTAGAGTATTGATATGTCCGTGTTTATACAGCCTCACTGATGTACAAGCGTATTGATATGTCCCGTTATTATCAGTCAGGGCAAATTTATATAAACTATACCAGAGTCAGAAAATCAGGATAGTAAATATGTTTCTGACATCTAAATTAACAAGGTTCATTTATTATTCCATTCTGATATTAAGGTTCTTAAAAAAACCACTACTTTAACAGCCGATATTTTTAATTGTTGAATTTAACATGGACTACCAAATGACTACGTATACGTGGTATTTTTTCCCGGGAAATTTCAGGCTTTGCAGAGTAACTTCCCTTTAAGCATTCGGAACCTCTTGTACGTTTGAGTCGTTACTCACGTGACTTTAAATTTGTTGATGTCATACGAATGGACTATTGACAGCAATGGCGGAAGTACTACTGGTGGCGGGGATAGTAATAATATTGTTTTGTTTGTTGTTGACACTGATTGCTTTGGTTATTTACTCTGGTTTATTAGAACATGTTAGTGTTGGGACCGGTAAGCCACCAATAGGAGAGGCTACCATTGCATACAAGTTTGCGCAAGGACCCTACAAAGAAGCAGGTCAACTGTGCAGTGACATCAGCCTTCTGGCTCCGACGAGCGGACCCAAAGTCGTCTGTATCTACTATGACGACCCCAAATTGGTAAACAAGTTTACTGTTGTTTGTGTCGAAAGGCTAAAAAAAACGCACACTTTAACATATGTCATTAATTATTTGATTTCTGCAAGATAAGCAGATTAAATTTAAAATCAGTCGAATCTAAAAATAGAAATGATACAAGAACGCCAACACAGATGCAAGTACATGTAGGTGGGTAACGGGTTGCTTACCTGTCTGGCTATTTGCCAATCATATTGTCTTGTCCGGACAATGCTACCAAGATAAACAGATAAAACACCACTATGTCTATTTATCATAGCATACAAATGCACTGCTCAATCTTAATGTTTTGTTACTAATACAAAAGATGTGTGCCACGACATGGGATAAAACCAATGATCGCACAGTTCTGGTCAGATGCTCTATTGCTGAGCTAAAGAAAATTTCTACTAGCTGAATACCAAAGTTTGATCAATTCAACACTATGTGTGCATGAACAATGCACATTCTTTACGCTACTCTTCCAATTCACCGTTCCAACAAATATATGTGTCATTGACCCTAAAAAACAACAGTACACAACATTTTTAAACTCGCCACAAAGGGTTCCCCTTCTTCTTTGTAGAAGAAGCGTCACAAACACCATGCAGTCTGTATAACAGGAATTCGAAGGAATAAATAGTCATTTGAGAGTCAGTGCCATGGACCCAAAAGCCTTTAATTATAAAGTGAATCTGTTTGTCTTGTTCAAATATTCATTGGATAAATTTGATTAATTAGATCTTCTTACTTGACCACTTTTGTAAGAAAAATTGTTTTTGAATTCCAGGTGCCATCCAGCAAGCTGCGTTATGCTGTCGGGGCAATTTTATCAGAGGATGGTAAACCCGAAGATGAAGATTTCAAAAAGAAGTTATTGGATGAAGGATACAAGATGTTCAAACTTCCCAGTGTGTCCTTCGCTGTGAGCACATTCTTCCCCTACAGAAGTACACTGTCTATTTTCATGGCCATCTTCAAAGTGTACCCTGCTATGGAATCCTATATACAGGTATGTATACATGTTATGATATGATTATATTTAAGGCTTCCTGCCCGATAATTGCATTCCACTCTCCTAGCCCTACCCCAATATAAACTTGTAATTGTAGATTGTAAAAAAGATTTTTGTCCTAAAATTCTATATACAGTTATTGAATTTCTCTGTAATTCTAGGCAAGGTTTGTTTTCCCACTATTCTATTTTCAATAAAACCTCAATATAATGCCCTCCTCCCATTCTTTTTCTTTACGTTTAGCCGACACACCTGTGCAACCGCCACTCCCCGACAACCTTCCAAACAATACATCTTCTCTCTCACGCACGCTCTCCATTAACACCAGTTTCTCCCTCTCGCTCCAATTTGTACTCCTCGCTTTCTTACTGTTAATTTCTGACATGTTCATTAGGCCTATAGTAGCAGACGACACTGTGAAACTTACCTTCACCCCGTCTCGTGCTTTGACAGTTTACGGGAAAAAGTTTCACGTTGTTTACACAAGTTTATCGACCTCCTTCAAAAAGAGTTCCCAATCGGGCCGCTTACAACATCGCGAAAGCTCCTCAACTTTTCCTCAGCTGAGGACGTCCTCAAGTTACTTGAGGAATGTTTATACAACCCATATTTGAGGAAATCTCAGCTAAGGAAATCTCAACTTAAGAAAATCTCAACTTGAGATTTTTTTATACAAGCGGGGCCTGTGCTCCATTTACCTCCTCTCTTACCACCAACATATTTCAATATTTTTATGTTTGTCTGGAGAATTATTTTGAATGTCAAAACTTATTTCTTTATTGAACAGTTTACATAGATGGGTGTAATCATCAAATTAAACAATGTGTGCAGTAGGAGAATGTGTATTACTTAAATCATTGTTACAATTATCCTGCAATCCTACCTACAAGAACATGTAGTTTGATTCTATAACATCAAATTAATTGACCCTTATCCATTACAAAAGCTTGATTTATTCGTTTTACTTTGTAACAATTTGCTTTCAATATATTTCCATAATTTTGTTAGTTTACTTTTACAAGGCTATAATAAATTCTGCGCCTTAGAGATCAAGACCAAAACACATTTCTATATTATGGACTATAACAAAACACAACACAATAACAACAACTGATATAAATAGTATATGTGTTGTTATTCCAGGAGCACCGCCTCTGTGCCCATCCTATGTTGGAGATCTACGATGCAGACAAAATGCATTTCATGGCTCCGCTGGCTAAGCAGAGTGAGTTTTATGTGGAGGAAGCTGAGGAAACCGGACTAAATCTAGACGATATCGAAGATGCAGATTCTGAGGGTGTGTCCTATGATGAGAGTATGCTCGACAGCAGTGTCTCCCGCAGTGAGGCCTCTGCCACTACTTTCATGGGGGAGGCGTCGGACGATGACGATGACACTGCTGAAGAAGGAAGTCCACGACCATCCGAGTTGTCTGTGAAATCAGAAGCAAGGGAGACAATTCAGAGAAATGAAAATTCAGATCTGTTAGATTCTGGGTTTAATTCTGAACAAGTGACAAGCCCAGATATTAGCCCTCAAAAGAGCGAGGGTGCCGGTGAAAAGTCGGGGGATGTTTCAGATGGGAATGAGTCCGGTTCATCGTTTGAGGAAATACAAATGGACACTGACAAGCAATTCTTGCCTTCAGGAGACTCAACAAAATGAAAGTTGCAAACTTTGTGAAACTGTTAATTAATGATACGATAATTGAATGTGATCAGGGATCACTTTATTTACACAGAAAAAAATGCTTCATAGATTTATAGAACACTCATCGATCATTTCGTGCAGCCTGCAGCCTCCGTGGACAGTAAGATTTGATAAGTATTATGAAGTAGAAAGCTCTTTATATTCCTGACCTAACTTTGTGGCTCATAGTTGGTTTGTTTGTACTGGCTGCTCCAGCTATCTCCACACTTCTCCACTGTATAAACATATTTGGTTTGCAAGAAACATTGTTTATCATTATCATAAGCTCAATGTAGTTATCAACTAGATATATCAATTCATATCAGAAGTTTGTAGAAATATTACTGCAGAGTCTGACCATGTTGTCCATTTCAGCAGAGTCTGCCACACTGTTGATTACAGCAGAGGCTTCAACACTGTTGATTACATCAGAGGCTTTAATCATACTATGCTGTTGATTACAGCAGAGGCTTCAACCGCTATTGATTACAGCAGAGGCTTCCATTCTGTTAATTACAGCAGCGGCTTCAACCGCTATTGATTACAGCAGAGGCTTTCATGCTGTTGATCACAGCAGAGGCTTTGGTGCTTTTGATTACTGTTGAGTCTGACCGTGCTGTCGGTTACTGTTGAGTCTGATCATGCACTGTTGAGTGACCATGCTGTCGGTTACTGAAGAGTCTGACCGTGTTGTCGGTTACTGCAGAGTCTTGACCATGCTGTCGGTTACTGCAGAGTCTGATCATGCTGTCAGTTACTGTTGAAGTCTGACCGTGCTGTCGTTTACTGCAGAGTCTGATCATGCTGTCGGTTGCTGTTGAGTCTGATCATGCTGTCGGTTACTGTTTAGTCTGATCATGCTGTCGGTTACTGTTGAGTCTGATCATGCTGTCGGTTACTGTTGAGTCTGATCATGCTGTCAGTTACTGTTGAGTCTGATCATGCTGTCTGCTACTGTGGATTTTGATCATATTCAAGCTGTTGGTCATGGTAGTGTTTGACTATGCTGTTAATTAGCAGAGTCTGGCTGTGGTGTGGTTTACCACAGAGTCTGACTTTGGTGTGGTTTACAACAGAGTCTGGCTGTGGTGTGGTTTACCACAGAGTCTGGCTGTGGTGTAGTTTAACACAGAATGCAACTGCTGTTTTTCATCACAGCATCTGACCATTCTTTCTGTTACCACGGAGATGACTCTATATGTTGCCTGTTACCGAGGAGACTTCACCTACATCAGCCATCAAATCAAACTGCTCCCTGTCATTTATTTGTTAATTGTGACTAGAAATCTTCAACCTGAAACAACCATCGGAAGAAATGGTTTATGTAAAATACACCTGACAAAATACGATGTTTGTGTTTTCCAAGGTTAGTGTATTTGAAGGTATAATTAATTTTGAAGCTCAACCTTGCCCTTGTGAGTTGTGTAAATGTACATTCTGTTGTTATGTTTGCGACACAGACGTAGCGTACACTGTTCAAATGATGTTTTGTTTCATATCATGTATTTTTTCTTTAAAATACTTCAAACTTTGTGCCCAAAATGAAATTCTCTGATTTTTTTCTTTTTAATGTATTTATTATTATCTTTATGTTTTGTATCAGAACTTTGGAATTATTTAGATAGCTAAAAAAAAATATGTAAACGGTATGCTTATGTATATCAATATGGGTTTTTTGACATTTTCTTACTCTTTTTTTTTCAAAAACAAACTTTTGTTATTTAAATTAATCATTGTAAAATTTTGTGAAATAGTATCAGCCTTCTTTAGAAGATTGAGGAAATCACTTTTCTTAACATTGTACAAAAAGAAATTCTTTTGTAGATTTATACAAAAACATTCCAGATTCAAATATTTTAGTAAAGCGCAGATTTGAGAAGTGTGTATTAAAAGGCATGATCTGTTGGCATTCAGAGAAAATCTTTATACATATTGTAAAAAGGGTGCTTGGTAAATTGAAAAAAATAAAATAATCACAGAACCTTTCAAAAAGAAACTGTAACTAAGATTGACACCATTTTTTTCCAAGAAAGTGTTAAGATCTCAGTACCACTGTCATAAACTAACTACGCATCGAAAACTGATTTTTCCAACATGACATTGAAAAATCAATCCTGAATAGAAACCATGCCTCACGGGACTTTTATGAAAAATATTAAAGATAAAATAAATAAATTATAATCAACAACAGTGTTCTAATTGTGAAAACAATCAACAGGGCTAGACCGGGATTCAAACCCAGGACTTTAGATTGTTATTCTATCGCTCTAACCGATTGAGCTACCTGGTCAGGGGAAGTGTCCTTGCCCAAATGTGCTACAGTAATATTTGTAATGAAATTAAGGGGAGGTTATAATTACGGTAAATACGAAAAAGAGCAGTGCAGTGGGACTTGGGTCCTTAAATTCATGGTGAAGGGATGTAACTTTTTGTTCACAAAAATGGTGTAGGGGGCATGCATGCATGCCTCATTAGATTTAAATACAGCACCTATTGTTATAAAATCTTGTATACCTTTGTATGTTTGCCTGTAATTATTAAATGATACACCTGTAATTATATATAACTGAGCTGGATACAGTTGTATAATTGTTATTAGATTGTTATTAGTCATTGTTTCATGCTAGTTGCTGTTATCTGGATGACTCTACACATTTTACTATGGTACACAAATATTCTGGCTTTTGTTACTATCTTACATAGGATTTATGAAGTAAAATTCTGTGATGTCTTGAATTGTGAAATAAGTATATACAAGTGCTGCATTTATATTTATATTCTGTTACAATATATGGAAGCATTTAAAAAAATATTTCAGAAGCAGTTAATTTGTAAATATGTGGTCTTGATCTGTTTTGTCCTTTGGTAAGATTGATGTAAACCATTGAACAAGTGGTTTAGCTTGGTATTGCAGATAATTTCTAATTTTCTAATTATGGACTTTACTTGAGGTGAATATGTGGTTACATTATATGATTCTGAGAAAGTGATATTAACTGAGAGGAAGTCAAGGTCAACATTACTTGCTCTGGTCCATGTGTCCACATATTCACTGAAATAATAGCCTTCAATTGTTATATTAGATGCTAAATAATGTTTTAATGGAATGTATGAAAATTGTATGGAGGAAAGTACTGCATCTGGATGGGAGCATTGTAATGTTTCCATTGAAATGAGGTTATAAATAGAATATTAACCTGCTGTTTCTAAAAATAGTAACACAGAGTCAATATCACAAACCAACCAATGAGGATGTAGGGAAAATGTGCGTCATCTGATATAGATATTGATGGTTGGTGGAAAGGAAGATGAGTTATATATATATCTCAAAGCCTGTTTGGTTCTGTTTATGTTAAACAGAGATCCATTTTCATATTACTTGCCTACCTACACAACAAGCGTTTGTCGTATAACCCCGGTATATATATATAATTCTGAATTGGTCCGAACCCTGCACTCCCCATGCCTGATAGCATAGATATTGAATACATGTACTTATATTGTCACTGACTGCCATTATATATAGTTGTATATTTTATAGGTCAGTAATTTGGAAACTTTTACTTTATGTAGATTCTATTAAAGAACACAGTATTCAGTTGTTGAAATGTATGTCAGATAATTTGTAAGATTGAAATAAGAGCTATTCCAGGACACATACTTCAGGAAACTTGGATCAGATGTATACACTGTGTTAGAGCTACATTCTCTGGGTATGTTAGTCACGTCAACTCGGAGACTGATGTCTATGCTATATTTGTGAAGCGGTACTCCTTGATGTTTTAAACAAGGTGGTAATCCAGGCACTTAAGTTGCATCAACTCGGCTACAGATATATACTGTTCTTCGACAATTTAGTTGCACCATCTCGGTTACAAATGTACCCTAGAGTGGTGATGCGGTATACCAGGTGCTTAAGTTACGTCATTTCAGATACGAAAGTAAGCTTTGTTGGTGATGCAGTACTCCCAAAATGTTTTAGACTTGGGACTCATGGCGCTTCATATTTATGACGCTGTACTCCAGATGCTATAATCACGCCTCCTTAGGGACCAATGTACAACATATTGGCGACGTAGTACTCCAGGGCCAGGGCGACATCATGTACTCCGGATCCAGGGCCAGGGTGACATGGTACTCCAGGGCCAGGGTGACATGGTTATCCAGGGCCAGTATTAATTCATGCTTGATGCATGGTACCCGTGAATATGGGCATTGGTGCATTAGTCACCTCAAGTATGGTTTCATGCTGTGTTGGCGACAAGGCACTGCTTGTGACACTAATGTACGATGCAGTAACGTTGATGTAGTAGTTGTATCATTCTTTTTTGCTAAATTACATCTTATACTTGTAAATATATAGTCTTCTAGCCCTGGTGTGTTCTGGAATAGCCCCAAAGGCATTCTGTTGGTATTAAAGTTCTTCCTGGTGAAAGTCAAGTCAGTTCATGAAGTCCGTGGATATAACATAATTGTGTAGAAATTCATTGTAATAAATGTTGTGCTGTTTGAAGACATTGTTGTAATCCCTACATTCTGTGTTTAAATTACAGTGATTTCTAATAAATCTATAGATGTAGGAAACGTCTTACTTTTGTGATTTTGTTGTCAAAATAATATTTTAATCTGGCTCCTGTTTTACGAAGAATTTTGAAAAAAAATTCAGTTCTCAATTTCAGATTTTGTTTAAAGGTTATATTTCCTCAAAGAGATATGGCGGGTTGCTATGCCTATTTCTCCAAAGCTATGTTACGCTAGTGCGCGCATCCAACCGTGCACTGTTATGACGCGTCCTCAGGTATTTTTATACAGGTAGCAATATCGGAATCCCGTGTCTAAAAATAGATTATTGTAAACAGACCACATATTTGGTATTTCGGCATTATTTGTTGGTGTTTAAGCACTTAATATAATTACTATTGCCAGTTGGAGGGTAAAACAATTCATAAATTTCATCAAAAATAGTGTCTTANCAGTGTATATGGCTATATTTGCAGTTTCATATTAGCAATACCTAATTTCTCAGCAGTTTAAAAATTCATATTCAATTGGTTTTGTATCTTTTGTATGCATTTTTGCTACACAAAATGTTTTTCTCCTTAATTTTTCTCCCCGTTTTCATAAATGCTGACTTAGGGAAATAGGGGCAGGTTTCCGCCATACCTCTTTACAATGTAATTGTCAAAAAGATGCAATTAAATGAAGAAATTACCAACTGAATTTGAGAAATACATACATACTAAACATGAAGTATCTAAGAGAATGTTTAAAAAAGTTGTAAATAGCTAAGAAATTCTGCAATATTGCAATCTGTTGCTGTCCCTGATCTGCCATTTATCATTCATAAACTATTTCTAAAACAATTTCTTAAGAACCAGATTTCAACTGGTAGAAAGGTATTCTTAGTCGTTTGTATGACCTTGACTTGAAAAGGGTCAATGTCTTTCACTTGAACAAATTTGGAAGTCCTTTATTGCAGTATGCTACTAGCCAAATATCGACATCAATGACCTCTCGGTCACTGAGAAGATGGTTAAATGTTTTCAATTAACACATGACCTCTGTGATATCAAATTGTTTGACCGTTGTGACCTTGAATATGGGACAAGGTCATTCATTTGCACAAAGTTTGTAGCCCTTCAATCAAGCATACTATTAGCCAAATGTCATAATGCTAGGCCTGTTGGTTATAAAAATGCTTAAAGGAAAGTGTTGACGCCAGATGGACAATGGATGCCAGGCCGTGGCATAAGCGCACGTTTCCCTTCGATTCAGGCCATGTGAGTTAACAAAAATCAACAATGTTTTGAGTGTAGAAAGGCAATGGGACCAGACAAGGGTTTGAACCCTACACCTCCACTCAAACCAACTGAGCTTGGTCAACAGTAGAACACTGGCTCAGACGTACCACAGTTGAATTTGAAATGAAATTAAAAAGATGTTGCTGTGTATATAGATAACTTCAGTAGAATTATCTAGTGTTGTACCTGCAGTGGAACAAGGATCCTAAAGCAAACACAGTGCTAATCCTGAAAGATTTGTTAGATTTCAACTTTATTATCCACCCCTTAAGGAGTTGGCGAGGGATATAGAAACGGGGTCTGTCCGTGCGTCCATCCGTGCCTCAATCCATTCACCTAGTTAAGAAGAATTGCTCTCATCTTTATCTTGCCTACTACAAGTGCTATGTTTAATTAATACTTGCATCAATTGTGTATCTAGGGTTGCTCTCCTGAATGTATACTGCGGATGCTGATTTTGACCTATATTTTACGCCTTAGTGACTTGGTTAAGAAGAATTGCTCTTTATCTTCATGTAAGGTTAAGAAGATTTGCTCTTATCTATATCTTGCCTACTACAAGTGATACATAGATTATACTTGCTGGAATGATCACTCTATAAAGGTTCATCTACTTATTGCATGTTACAGATGCTGAATTTTCATTGGCAAACGTTTTATGTTTTAGTGACTTGCATAATAAAAATTCATTGAGTTGGTTAAAAAGTACTCGTCATATTTCATGTTTTTAATGACTTTTGCACTGCGTGTGAGGGATATCGATGACAGCGTCCTCTTGCTGGTAACCTAACGTGAACGGCCAAAAGAAATGAATTACTTTTTGTGTAAATGAAGGTTGTGGTCCCCAATGAAGCACAGGGACATGGCTGTAATTTTATTTTAATGTTTTAACATTTAATGGCTACTCCTCCTGTTACAGTAGACACATTTCAAACATACTGGCAATACAATATAGTGATGACGAGACAAAGGATTCATATTTTGTTTAAATCAAGGTTCCTGAATTTGTTATCGTTTATATTGATGATCACCACAGGTAAAATCAACACCATTCATCATATTTCAGAAAGCATCTTTATTGACATTATATGAACAGCGAATAATTTGCCTGGCATTTGTACATAGTGAGTTTGTTTAAATAGGGACAAAAATGTACAAAAAGCTGGCAACAAAATATAAGGCATTTAAAACCCAATCACTTACATGCATACACATACGTTCCTCTCAACCTAATGGGCAAAAATTGGCCCTCATCATGTAAATTTGTCATAAATAACAATGATCTGTCTGTCGTAAGTAGCAGGGTCCAAGTACTGTTCAATATGTGCATTAAAGAAACAACAACTCCACATGACAGAATTGTGTTGTTTTTCGCACTTTCAACATATAATATATCAATGGCGGAGGATTGGTGGTAGTGGTATTTTTCTTTGATGCACATATCCAACAGCCCCAAGTAAATTGTTTGGTAATGATATAGCTACTGATATATTCTGTCAAAAAACACAGAAATATATCCTCATGTTCAGCGACACCACAGCATATACATAAACATATATTTATGTCAGAAACAGAATACCTAACTTCTGATGACTCATTAAGCCTTATATTCAAGCGTGGATTATTCCCATATTTAATTTTGTCACTAAAAGCTTGGAAGATTTTGAGCGACAATATATACACTCCAATACACCAATTGTTCTTCATTCCCGGTTTATCCATCAATGGTGAATTTTTTCTTCATTACAATAACACACTGTATTCATGCCAAGATATTTAGTTTTTGTGTATCATTTCAATAAAATTGCAGATTTTTAGTACATTCGTATTACATGTACCTGTATTTAAAAAACCCAAAAGTAAAACTTTGTATAAAACTTTACACCATGGATCTCATAATTTCATACAAACATCATCGCTCAACTGATAAATAATATGCTGGGTAATTTGACATCAAATTTTCAAATCAATTGTTTTTTTAAACAAGCATTTTTTGCATATTATATGAAGGAAATTCTTTAGAGTCCCAAGCTATGTATATTTCGTTTTCTTATTTTTAAAATGTGAAACTGACCACCATTTTACGTTTAAACTTAGTTCATCAAAAGCCAATCAAGAATAGCCCACCCCCTTGGGGTTGAGATAGGGTTGAGATAGGGTCGAGACACCCCATTTTAACTCCAAGGGAGTGAATTATTCTTTTCTTTTACTCTGTTGACTCTGGCATAGATATGATTTTGTTGACGTGATAGGATCCATGCATTGTTGACGTGACATCATACAATTGTTTTGACTAAGGGAATCCCCTCATCTTAACCTTAGGGTGAGACAACCCTTAGGGTGAGACTACTAAGGACGTCTCCCCTATTTGACGGAGATATCAACACTTCGAGTGAAGGAAAGAAATTTTCTAAAGATTGGGGGATTCCCCCCGTCATAACAATTGTATGACGTCATGTCATCAATGCACTGACGTCATGTCATTAATAGCAGATCACAGAAGATAGCTGCAATTTGCTGGAAACGGTGCAATCAATGTTTGCGTTTCATGAAATTACCACTGGTATTTGACGTGGTAGAAAATAATCATTAAACCACTTTAGGTGTGAAACAGAAAAATCTCAACCTTCGGAGTAAGATTCTTAATTGTCCAGCCCTCAGGCTGAGGGCTAGACATTTTTAAATCTTATTCCAAGTGGTGATGATTTCCCTGCCTTACCCTAATTAAGGTGGTGAAAGATTCTATTAATTTCACCCTGGGAAAAGTATGGATACTCCTGTCCAGGGTAAGAAAATTATCATTCCAGTCAAGCTAGAGGCTGGATCATGAGGACTTTTGATAAACCTTATTTTGAATGCTTTTAAATTTTCCACTTGCCTAGGAAAATTTCACCAAATTTAGACTGATTGTCACAATAAAAACATCCATGTTTTTTTTGCTTTGAGATCAAGTAGGTTATTTTGTAACTGTATCCAATGATGTTGATTTGCCAGCAGAGATAACCAAATCTAAGACAATACAGTCTCACGCTTTGTCATCATACATACTACCCCGTTCATTAAAAGCAATAAATATTCTTTCACAAGGACAACTAGGCCAAACAAATACATAAGTATGTAACAAATTTGAAAATTTTTGTGAAGTTGAACAATTTTATTTCTAAAAAAATTTTTTTTATGATTTAAATAGGAAAGTTATTCAGATTTTAACAGTGCTTCTTTGAAAATGGACTCAAATGTTTCGGTTAGGTACAAAAACTTAGGGTAGGTAGGGTTATTGGAAACACAAAATATTTTTTGTTTGGCCTTATAAGAAACATGATAAAACAAATAATAAAAACACATATTGGCAATTTTGACACAACAGCTGCCAAAAGCGGGGTTTTGTATCTAAGGGGTGGGGTAACTGACAGTGCATCTGACCGAGTTTCGTCACATTCCATGTAATACAAACAGTTTTTAATGTGTATTATCTCCTGAATTTAAGCCCAAAAAATTAATGGGAAGTGTTATTTTTTTTTTTTTTTTTTTTTTTACCTACAGTAAGAATACCTAGTATAAGGATATTAAAGACATATATCCCATAACTATTTCATTTAATGATTGACTTTGTACCTTTAACGCTTCAAGAAAGTTGGGCATATTTCAATTTTAAAATGAACTCTTTTTTTTTATTAATATTTTTTAAACACAAAAGTACATGTATCAGAAATTATTCATATTTTATAAAAAAAAAAATTAAAAAAAAATGAATAAGCACCAACTTGCTGAGCTGTTAGACATACTGCGGGTACATGTATTTGACAGAAGCACAGATGCCTGTATATATATTGCACATGTTATTGTGGTAGGCAAGAAAATCGCCTCTCACTGTCCTCTAGGTGGACACTAAACACACCAAATAGTTCTGGGAAATCGTAATGTTCTGCAGTTAAATTTAACACCCTTTCACCACTGTTCACCATAATGGACTCATCCAAATCAAAGCATTGAAGAGTTTACTAAAGTTACATAGGGGTGAAAGGGTTAAAACAGACCTATATTTAGTTCAATATGAACAATAAACAAATAAATCCCTTTATAAATACATTTGTTTCGAATGAGACTTAAAAACAACCAAACACCATCTCCCTCCTATATGTCAGAATTTAGTGCTGATCTTTAATATTTCACCGATGTGTTGAGTAGAATCTGAAGAAATTAATATCAATATTTTGCGGGTATTTTGAATCTATAATTAATTATAACTTGTTGAATTCATTGTACAAATAACAACCTCATGTACAGGACTTATGGAACAAATTTGAAAGAAACATTAAGACATTTTTAAAAGTACCAAATAAAATAAAAAAGTATATATCAAATAAAAGGTGCTGGTAACGAAGGCTAGCACTTTGATCACAAGGGATTGTATGTACAGGTGACTTCAATGAAACTTCTGACTCATTATATAACTATTGAAAAATAAAAAAAGGTAAGAATTATTTCATAACTCTTTCCTCAGATATCTAATTCATATCTTGGAATTAAAACATCAGTTTCGGATGAAACTTATACAAAAAGGCCCAGTGGACCTGTATTGCTGGCTCAAACCTATCTATGTTTCCAGAGACCTCCCCACAAAGGTCAAGGTCATTCATTGTCATATGACCGACAAGGTAGGTCATTGTAATCGACAATAACGCGTTACAAGCCGAAAACTGAGACATTCTTAAACTGCATACTTATAGCATTGATAAGAACAAAAGTACATATATGTTTATATATAAACAATGGCACACTTACAGATATAAACTATAATTGTTAAAGATAATTTGTTCATAAAAAGCATAAAAAATCTTGGTACAGTTATTGTATTGGTCAACAATAAAACAGCTTTTGATCTGTCTTTTAAAAAAGTCAATAAATAATATTAATAAAAAAACATGCATATGTAAAGCACACAGAATACAAAATACTTCAATAGAGATTATCTGTCCTAGCACACTTAAATACAAAGTTTGTCAATGGAAATTATCTGTCCTTATTTCCAAGACAGAAATACATGTACCACCAGGTGGAGCTGTAACTGATGTGTCTGGTACAGAGTGTGACATCTCATACACACCACCAGGTGGAGCTGTAACTGACATGTCTGGTACAGAGAGTGGTATCACATACACACCACCAGGTGGAGCTGTAACTGATGTGTCTGGTACAGAGTGTGACATCTTATACACACCACCAGGTGGAGCTGTAACTGACATGTCTGGTACAGAGTGTGACATATCATACACACCACCAGGTGGAGCTCAGAACTTATGCATCTGGTACATACAGAGCTATGCTATCACATTCACACCACCATATAGTGGTACATGTATGTGATGTCAGTCCATACTAAACACATCAGTTACAGCTCCACCAGGTGGAGCTGTTACTCGTACTTCATTTATCTATTATTTGTTATTTGGAATAAAATTTGAACAATAATACTACAGATCTCCTCTCTAAAACCTTAAAAATGTCTTTGTATCATGAATAACGATTGATTGACTGCCTTATCCAATCATTTACTGAAACAGAATCCTACCTACAGGAGCAATGTCACATTCACTTGATTGATATCTACAAATCTGTACATGAACACGTTTCATAATTAATTTATTGGATGAACTGATGATAATGATTACAAATGACTGATTTAACAATTTTATTGCAATATAGTGGAAGAGAACTTGATACAAGAAATGACAGTATGATAGCAAGGAAATGTTATGGACCTTAATTTTGTGTTCCTTTATTAATTGAAAAATGCTGTAAATTTTTGAACATTTTTTAATATGCTGTGAATATTGTAATTCGTGATTTAGAGAAATGCTATCTTTATGATAGATATATTATTATCAACACAATTAATATTCGCGACAGATTTAAATCAGCTAATGAATCTCCTAGCGAATCAACACAGAACTTATCCCTCGAGAAAATGCATGTGATTTACACTCTTCAGACCGCAACATGTGTTACGACAGTGCACATAATGCCTGAAGCATTTAAACTACTGCTTCCGTGGCTAGGCCAATGAAAAGAAACATGAAATCATGATTTTTATGTCTGACAAAACTATGTATGAAACTTGCTCACTCTTCACCTGATTAGTCAACAGACAACCTCTGTACACTGAGAGATCAACATGTAATCATTGCACCTTTCCATACAGGACCAAACAACAGGTATACAATTTCAGATCGTGCACACACATGGCTTCCACACTGTGGTGTCCTCCGCAGCACTTTGCTAGCTAGCACTGGTCTTCATTACATTGAAAACTGGCGTCAAAGTGAAGTAATTGTCTTCACCACTTACGTACCCATTCTGTCCTTTCTGAAACGAAACTGTTAAGCACATTTATGTTACATATATAGTACTTGATTGTATTTGATAGTAATGTGGTGTTCGGAGTGCCCCCAATCGGTGCTCGGTTATCCAGTAAAACAGATGTAATCAGCACCTCCTGTGGGTGGACCCCTTCACTTGTAGTCCAGTATCAATGTAGTCGGTTCGCAAATATAGTCATCTTGCTTTGTAACATTACTTTCATCAAACATCACTGATATTCTCATTCGTCTCCAGGATTTGATTTCCTCCACAACCTTAGTCTCTCGGACATACGGACACCCGCCTGTGATCAGATTTGGATTAAAATGCTCATAACAAGCATGTCCATATCTATAGTCAATGCTTTGTATAAACATGACCTTTAAACCTCAGGCAGTATGACCTCTGACTCCTTTGACAGTCACAGAGTTAATGTTTGTATGACCTTTGACCTATAGATAACATCATGAAAGCCATTTAGGTCAAAGTTCGTATGATATTAACCCATGACCTCTAGATATTCTGACGAGCCACCCGGTTCAATGTTTGACTTAAGTGGCTGAGTGTCAGACGTGTCATCGTTTTGTTCACCATTGTCGGCTGACAGGAAGGTCTTCATATCGTCGTTGACTTCCTGGAATGTGGGCCTGTCATTGGGTCGATCCGTCCAACACTGAACCATCATCACGTATCTGTTGAAAAACATCGCAAATTTGTACAGAATAATATCCAGTCTGTTGTGGAAACATTTAATAAGACACATCTCGAAATATACAGATAAAATGGTTCGGTAGATTAAATACAAGGTTAAATACAAACTTTTTTGTTTGTACATTAGCAAATCTTCAAAAATAACAAAAATGAACACCTGTACCCTCACTCAACAAAGGAAACCAGGTCCAATGATCTACTGTTTACATTTACAATATGGGGGATGTTTTTGGAAGTGTGTTGCACATAAAGTTTAGGTTCAGTATACAATTATCAAAATGATTTTTATGATCCCCTACTCGACACTACTGCTAGCCCCTATTACCATCATTTTAGTAAAATAGCCAGAATGTCTGAATTTTAAAAAACAATCTGAGCACTGATCATGCAGACCCATCAGTTTGCATGGCCTTATCTGACGGCCTATAAAAGACGATTTAGAAAATATCCTCAACACATGTATTTCATTTTGACGTCATGTTGTTGTGCTTCATTTAAATTTTAATGCCATGTTGGCTCTGACAGTAAAGATGATTATCACAATTTGGATGTTATTCAAGTGATTTGTATTTCAAATACAGGCATGGGTTGAGTGAAACATATTTCATCGCTGGAGCAATAAAAATTAAATAACACAGCAGCTTTTCAATTTCATTACAAAGAACTCTTTCCCATGATGCATGGAGTTTTTCAAATCACTCAAATATCTCTAGGTTTGGAACAGTGCCATTGGTCCTTAATGGAAATGAAATCTACAAACTTTAACTCAGAAGTCATGAACACATCCAATGTCACAAGTTTGTCCTTTTTAAAAAAAACGTTAGGGCAGATTCAGGTTTGTGCAATAATCAAAAGAAGCTATACGTACAGAGATTCTGGACACTGCCGAGGTTTCTTTAGATGATGACCGCCTTCTAGGTAATTCTTCAAGTCTTTCGAATCCACATCTGGGTACGGAGTTACTCCCCTTGTCAACAGTTCCCATAGTAGCACACCATATGACCACTACAAGAAAAGATTTTGTAGATATAAAAACAGTTTTAAATGGCTTACAGTACATGTTACTCGATCATGGCTGTCTTAAATTACATGTCATACTATTAGAGTAAGCCTAGCACCAATCATGAAGTGGCATCAAAATTTTTGATAAAAAAAATATTGCATGGTTTCCGATTTAAGATTGTCCATAAAGCAACAATAACCTTAAAATATGTCTGTCACCGAATAGAACTAGATAGATAAAAAAGAAATGTATTTGTTGTTTTCATGTAAATGAAAATATTGAGAATATTCGTTTTAATCCTGAATAACTCAATTTGAATGGCTTAAAAACCTTTCAATTTAATGACTTACAATTCATATGGTAGCTTGATTTCACAGAGAGCCAACATTTAGCGTACATCCTGTCTACAGTTCTAAGGTATCAGCGCCCCTGTTTGAGCAAGTTTATTACCACCAGTGCCTCAAGCCTCGAGAAACTTACAACATCTGTTTTATGAGAGAAGACAAAGGTGTTGATGGCCTCGGGTGCCACCCACTTAGTGACAGTCTTGTTCCTGTCCTCGTCAGATTTGCAGTAGTCCATGGCGTACAGGTCTGTAACGCCGAACCCTGCCACACGCACCACCTTGTCGTCTGTCAGCCTGCAAGAACATACCATAACAAAGTTAGGATAACTATTAAAGTTCTAGTACACCAAGAGAGAATCGGAAAGTAGTTACAATCAAACCTGCTAAAGTGATTACCTGTATTAACAGACCACCTGTGTTAAGAGATCACTTTTTTCTTCCTTTTAGAGATTTCACTGAAAACTGAAACTATATTGAGCAACCAACTGTATTGACAGGCCACCTGTGTCAACAGAACAACTGTATTGACAGGCCACCTGTGTCAATAGAACAACTGTATTGACAGACCACCTGTGTCAACAGAACAACTGTATTGACAGACCACCTGTGTTTACAGAGCAACTGTATTGACAGACCACCTGTGTCAACAGAACAACTGCATTGACAGACCACCTGTATTAACAGAACAACTGTTTTAACAGACCACCTGTGTCAACAGAACAACTGTATTGACAGACCACCTGTGTCAACAGAACAACTGCATTGACAGACCACCTGTGTTAACAGAACAACTGTATTGACAGACCACCTGTGTCAACAGAACAACTGTATTGACAGACCACCTGTGTACACATCTAGGAACACCTCATTCATATTTACATAACATTACAAATTTAGGATACATGTACTTACAAACAGTTGCGAGCGGCGAGGTCACCATGGACAACATGTAGACTCTCTAGGTAAACCATTGCCTCGGAGATCTGCTGGGCCATCTCCAACAACTGTATAACTGTGATGTTCTACAAACAAAGGGTCAAGGTCAGTGTTATGTACAACGAAAGGTCAAGGTCAGTGTAACGTACTGGTACATAAAAAGCCAAGGTAAGTGTAATTTACAACAAAGGTCAAGGTCAATCAAACACACAAAAAGAGGTCAAAGTCAGTGTAACATACAACATAGTTCAAGGTAAGTATAACTTTGGTTTTGAGATCACCCCTCTCAGGGTAGGGGACCTCTTATCACTACAAACCTTTGATGGATCCCTGACATAGGTTTTGAGATCACCCCTCTCTAGGTACGGAATCACCATGTGGGGTTCCTCAGCAGCCGAGAGACACATCCCCAGGAGGGGGAGGATGTTAGGGTGCTGTAAGTCCTTCAGGATCAAACACTTCTGTAGAAAGGCATCCACTGTGGCATTGTCTGTGTTACAGCCTGTAAGATAAGGTCGAAAGGTTAACTTACTAGCAAATCTAGTAGTACTAGTGTTACACCAACCAAGGTAGATGAACAAAACTCAGAGGCGACGACTAATTAAACTTAGTAGTTTGACACCTAACTAAACTTAGTTGTGTGACTTATTAAGACAGATGAACAAAATTTATTTATGTGACAATTATTTAAACAGAAAAACAAACCTGTCGTGTGACACCTCTGTGGCGGCCATGTAACTAAATTTAATTGTGTGATACTTATAAAAAGTAAATAAATAAAACTTAATGGTGTGACACCTAACTAAACTTATTAGAGTGACACCTAACTAAAATTTGTCTAGTGACACCTACATGTAACTAAACTTAATGTAGTGACACCTAACTAAACTTAATGGGGTGACACCTAACTAAACTTAATGGAGTGACACCTAACTAAACTTAATAGAGTGACACCTAACTAAACATAGTGGACTGACACCTAACTAAACTTAATGGAGTGACACCTAACTTAACTTAATGGAGTGACACCTAACTTAACTTAATGGAGTGACACCTAACTAATCTTAATGGAGTGACACCTAACTGAATTTAATGGAGTGACACCTAACTAAACTTAATGGAGTGACACCTAACTAAACATAATGGACTGACACCTAACTAAACTTATTAGAGTGACACCTAACTAAACTTAGTGGAGTGACACCTAACTAAACTTATCACTCTAACTAAACTTAATGGAGTGACACCTAACTAAACTTAATGGAGTGACACTTAATTAAACTTAATGGAGTGACACCTAACTAAACTTAATGGAGTGACACCTAACTAAACTTAGTGGAGTGACACCTAACTAAACATAGTTGTATGACACCTAACTAAACTTATTAGAGTGACACCTAACTAAACTTAGTGGTGTGATACCTAACTAAACTTAGTGGAGTGACACCTAACTTAACTTAATGGAGTGACACCTATTCAGGCACATAAACAAAAAACAGGCAGATAAAATAAACTCGATCGAGAGACATCTACCAAGGTAGCAAAATAAAACTTAGTCGTGTGTCATATCAACAAAACTTTAGTTATGTGACATCTATTCAGGCAGATAAACTAAACTTGTCATCTTGACACCTACCCAGAAGTGACTTGACAGCCACCTCCGTTTTCTTCTCCTCGCTGTCAGCTCCCACACATGTGGTATAATTGGCCTGATACGTGTTACCAAAGACACCTGCAAATGAAAAAGTCTTTATACATATTCATGTATCTATGGTTTCATTTTTCATTAATTTTTCATTCCATAGATAGAATTTTGTGATGCCAATACTTTTAATCTAATCCAAGATAATGTTATCAGTTTTTTTACTAATTAAATTCTTTTTTTTTTTGATTTTTTTTTTGATTTTTTTTTTTGATTGATTTTTGTAAATTTTTCCCTGGTGAGCCTTGAACTTCCTTTCAAAATTTTGATGAGTTCCATTACAAAGAAATATAGAACTAGTGGGTCCTCAAGAAGTTGGTGAGTCCCAAAGGAAAAACACACGAGTCCAGGCCCCGGGATTATGAAACAATCTTACACTTATAACTTTGCTTAGCCAATCACATATGATGTCACTTTTTCTGACATTATTTGTGATTGACTCAGTAAATTTTAGACTTAAGATCGTTTCATAATCTTGAGGCCTGGACACAAATGTTTGAGTCCCAAAAATTTATGTTTAAATTATATAGTATCTATGTAAATATGGTTTTGTTATATTGCCTACATACTTAGGTAAAACAAAATTACAAAAGAACATGACCTACCTTTGCCCACAAGTTCACCGATGTCCAGTTTTGACCGAGGTATAAGGAAGTCACTAATACTCTGTCTGGCAGCTTCATCCTCAATCCTGGCTAGGAGCTCACTGATGTAGGGTCCGGAGTCTGACAAAGGTCAGAAGTTAGTACAATGCAGATGATCCAAAGTCAGTGACATATTTCAAAAGATAAAATCAGGGATTTTTTTTAAAAAATCATCAAAAAATAAACAAACTAATGTCAGAAAAATAAATGTTAGAAGCATTATAAGTGGAAGCTGATGTGATGTTCCATTTGATGAATGGTATCATTTCTATTTTTAATTAAAATAAAAAGTATATTCCTAAAATAACTTTCGCCCTATGAAACTTTCTCTTTTCACTGGAAAAATTCCATATTCACCCAGTGTTAATTTCCCCCTTCACTTGTTTAATGGCTATATATGGTATAGTGGTGAATTAATATTCGCTGTCAGGACAAATTCGTCCACGTCATGGAGGGCAAAAAGGAAATATTTAAACTGCGGCAAAAAATTGGAGTATACAGTAACTCTGTTTCAAACAAAAAAATATGTGGTGGTGTAGCGCGAACTTGTCACCAAATCATTTGTATATAAAAAAAGGTTATCTACCTTCTAGATCTGTATCAACACTAAATGGACATCCTGCATAGTATTTTCAAAAATAATCTTGAAATAAAACATTTCTTATATATACTGTATATATATGTACCTGGAATCTGTCCATTCATGTCCGCCTTCACAGACACATGGTTCAGACCGATGTCTGCCTCTTCATTCTTTCCATCGTAGTCCTTTAACATCTCTGGAATGCCGTTTTTGTTGGGTCCGTTCTTACGCTGGCGTCGGATGATACAGATAGCCAACAGGGTGATGATCGCGATGATGGGAAGAACTACACCTAGTATGATACCCAGTGCGATTGGTTTCTCCGTCTCATTGAAACCATTCTCTGCATCTTTTTCGATGTAGTTGAGAAAGCCAACGTCCTTCCTCAGAAAACCAATCTTTATCTGTAAAAGCATGACAAACATGGTACAGTGTAATAAAATTTCAAGAGACTTAACAATTTTTATGTCCATTTCATGTTATTTGATGTATTTTATTTTAACCTAACACCGTTCATTCATTGGTCAAGTACAGTCACATGTTTAACCTCTGTAAGACTAATTAAAACAACTAGCTAAAAAAAAAAAAATGAGTAGAGGCTCCCATAGATATACCCCCCTCCCCCTTGCCAGTGATCTTTGACCCTTGAACATTGACTAACCCTGATGACCACCAACATCTAATTATAGGTGTAGAATTCAAAGTTATATTACCATACTATGGTGTATAAATATACTAAATTTGTTGAGGGTTTGTGACCTATCTTGTATACAAATTACTTACTACACACAAACGGATGCAGGCATGCATGGACGGAGGCACTGACAAAGTCATTTCTATATATATATACCGGTACCTCTCTCACTAAGTGGGGTAAAAGAAGGCAAAATTATCTGGTCTTGATATATGTAGTAGGTGAAGAAAACAGAATTTTGGAGGAGTTGAATAGATAATCAAGGTTTTACAAGGGCCCTTGATACAGTGAAGAAATGTGTAATGAATGAGTTATCCTCATTAACACGATGATTGAATAGTAGCTGAAAAAATATTTTTTCATAAGCTAGGTTGGCGATAAAGAGTAATGTTAACATGAGTCAAGGGTCATACCCTTGATCCAGTGCAAAACTCTTCTTCGCCATGTGGCGGTTTTTTACCACCCCCCCCCCCCCCCCCCCCTCCTACAATTGGATATGTGCAATACATGTATTTTAGGTCAGTGTGTAGTGACATGTAGTGTATACATGTTTGTGTTTTATGTCGTTTTGTGAATAAAAGGCCTATTTCATATCAAGTTAAGATAATAACTTCAATTAGCACAAAAAGCCAAAAATCCACACAACAGAATACATACCAGAACAAGAGCATTGCCTTTGGTGTTGATACCATCTGGGTTCTCTGGGGGATCGCAAACAATGTTAGTTTCGGATGTCATAGGGTTGAGACATTCATTCTGACCCACGACAACTTTCACGTCATTGATCAGCTGACTCATTCCAGCAAAACGACCTTCAATTATAAGAGGTTTGTCCTGTATGTACTTTTTATCACCAATTTTTCCCGAGAATCTCTCTACTAAAGGATCTGGGTAGTAAAGGAGGGGTCCCATGTTCTCGCGCTTTGAGATGTTGCGCCAGGTTGTGACTCCGTCGAGACTAAACCCATAGTGAACCTCACGTGGGTTGGTTTCGGTGACATTCTCCCCCAGGAAGTTGAGCGGTGGCGTTTGACAGAGCAGCCATTTGTTCATGTAGTTTTCAAAGGGATGGCATCGATGACCCTGTAACGAAATACCAATTATCTCAATTAAAGGAGATCTATATTTTGCGTATTCGGTAATGTAACAACACTTTTAATTCATTCACCCCTAAAGACACATTTGAACACTCCCAATTCAAGGGTTGGAACAGTTCATTATGAAATTTCAGAGGTGAATGAGTTAAAAGGTTACAGGTAACAAGGCAGGGCAAAGTGTGGCAATACCCCTACACCCTACTGGTCGTCCTCGATACTCCAGGGGTTACCTTCACTTTCACTCTCTGCACCCCTGAAATATGTCATGGCAAAGTCAAAGGCACGAAAATAGCTGTTTGATTCGTCTCGGGTAAAAAAAACTGACCAATCGCTAGGCTGATACCTGTCCTTTGAAGGTTACAAAGGAGTGACACCCGACTTCAAAGCCTGTAAATTTTAACTGTTACGTGGCCGCGAGATTCTTTTGCTGTACATCAAAGGATCAATCTAGTCTCTTGTCTCATCAACAAGGTGCGCACTGAGCCTTCGATTTAGTCACGACATTTTCCAGGAGTGCAGAGAGTGTAAGTGAGCGTAACCCCTGGAGTACGAGGATGCCTGCTGATAAACAATACGAATCAGGAGACACAAACACACACATCAATGTTATACCACTGTCTGCCATTGTGCTTTGGTTTTTGAAGTTTTAGGCTGGAATAGCTATACAACTGTGAATTCTGCATATTGTGATATTTTTTCCGTGGTAACAAAAAAATGATCGAATACTGAGAATTTTACAATGAGCAAAAGACACAACCACAGCACTATCACTGATCATGGTGTGTACACAAATTTCTTGGAGATATGTGGAAAAGTTTTAGAGAATTTTGTAATTTATACTACTTGTTTCCATGGTAATTTAACAGAAAAGATATTGAAATAAGAGTTCCAAAATAGCCAAAAGCAATTGTAAGGCAATAATCTGATATATGTAGAAATTTTCTACAAATTTTCATTATGTGGAAATCCTGATATGTGTACAAAGTGTTTGGAACAGAAGGATGTGAATTATTGGAAAATGCTTTGTACATTGCTATTGCGTATAGTTAACCTTTATGAATTTTTTGAAGTAGGTGATCTTATATTTCAAACGTTTGATCAAATTGGCAGAAGAAAGACAAAAACAAAACTACAGTTGAACCTCAACACAATGCCCCACGACCTTCTCATTTGTCACCTATCCTTACCACCAACTTATTTCAGTGTACCTCTTTCTCGTTTTCTTAAGAATTCTTTTATACATTTTCCTCAATTTATTACCAAACCCTTTCATAATGCCAACATTTCTTTGGACAAATGGTGGCAGTATAACAAGGTTTTACTGTAAGTAAACTACTATAAAGTACGTTTACTTAGTACGAGTTAGCTGTATACTATTTTGACTTACTTCAGGAGGGATCATTTGATCGTTGACTTCGACAAAGAACTTTGGACGTTGTATCATACCAAGTCTTTCTCCAATGACGGTCAGTGTTATGCCGCCACTGCAAAATAAACATTTGTTATCAATTGCCAACATGTTGTTTGTTGGTAAAAGTAGAGCCTAATCTTTCCAGACACTTAGTTACATGTGACTGGTAAAACACAATAATAATAATAATATACAAAACTTGATATAGCGCCCTATCTAGTTAGACTAAGCCACTCTTAAGCGGTTTATAGTACATAGATATACAATTTATACAATCAATATAATTAACATATACATTAATCAATACAATTTTGAGGAATTCGCAGGAGCTGCCTTATCAGGTGCTAACTACTAGTCCTATGCCACCTGGCTAATATCTCCCCATGTGTGTATGCCTGCATGTGTGCTGGAGATGTATTGTGTTCTGTTTGTAGTGGGACTGTGCTTCTGATGGTATCATTTTTAGTGCCACCTCACTTGAATGCTACAGCACAGATACCGCAACATCCACCCCAGACCATTTTATACATCACCTGGGTTGTTGGAGTTGTGTGCATGGCCAGGAGAAAAACACTTTCTCTGAATATTTCATGAGTACGACGACTTCGGGGATCAACCCCCGGCCGCCTGAATGAAGGCCGGAGCATTAACCACTTGACCGATCCGCCCATAACATCAGGTCTTATTAGATAAATTTTAATAGAATGAAAAAAATGAAGCAGGGTTCACATAGATACTTATACCCCTTATCGGAAACTGGTTGATAGTGATCACATGTGACCTTTGACCCTTTAACCTGGAACAATGAACACCAAAGTCTAATCAGGTGTAAAACTTATGTTATATACTATTGTTTAAATCTGTTGATGGGTTCATATGATACCTTGTACACAAGCTTTAATTATACTTGAAAAGTGGTGGAGTGTGACCTTTCACCCTTTATTCTTGACCAATGACATCAATACAATAACGTCACTCAAAAACCCATCAACGTCACGTAAACAACATATTGTGTCTGTAACATTAACGTTGCATTGTGCATATGATAGTGTCAACAGGGTAGAAGAAAAACAATCATTCACCACCTTGAGGGGAAATGGAGAATATCAACCCTTGGGGGAATGTATCTTAATTAAGCTGCAAAAGACTTGGCAAATCTCATGTTCGACAACCTAAGAATCTCCCCCTCCCTTGGGTTATGATTCCTCTATCTCCCCCAAAAGGGGTTGATGGATTCTATTAACTCATTCACCCCTGAAATTTCATAATGAACTATTCCAACCTTTGAAATGGAGGAGTTTAAATGTGTCTTCAGAGGTGAATGAGTTAATCCCTCTAGTGTATAGGTACATGAGAATGTGTGAATAACAGGCACTCCTTTTCTCCAGCATGTATTTACCTTAGAATACTCTTGGTGGGCTCTATGGCTGTGATGGTGGGATCCTCGACGTAGGTAAACTTTGGCCTGAGTAGGCGTTTGTACCCTCCAAAGCTGACCTCCACTTCAACTTCGTCCTTAGCAGCTATATGTTGCGAGGTTATACACTCCAAAATGGTGGCATTCCTCCTGGAAATCATTCAAAAGATGACAGATAGTACCAGACTGTTTACGACGAGATATTTCCGACCCTTTATAATGCCCGGTAAAAATGACAATTTATACCTTCAGGGAAATGATAGCTAAAATTTTCAGTCTCAAATATTTTCATAATTATTGAAACATTTGATATCCAAGATGGAAATTTATAGAGGGTCATATTGTGTGAGGAAACTGGAGTACCCGAAGAAAACCCATGTAGTTGGACAGGTGACCCAATATCTTTTTACATCTGATCAGGGACTCAAACCCTGGTCCGAGCTCATGGTGAAAAGTGGGTGTGCTATCGACTGCATTGCCCAACCACCAAAGTTTGACAATGATGTCAGCCTAAAATATACTAAACCTCCATTTTGTAAAAGTAAGATTGATATTAACAGTGGTAATAACTATATCTGCTGCCTAGGGTCGAGTGACAGCTCCAGCTTGGCATGCACTTCGAAAGATGTGAATCGTGTGTGAAAAAGTCATGCCCATTTTGGACCAAGTCTCTTTATAAAATTGTAACCATAATAATATTGCCATTAAAAATTGCAACATACTTTTCTCTTCGCTTCTACTGTTCCTTATAAATGTATCCTGATGATTATCGTATCGTGACCAAAGTATCGTGATACGTATTGTATCGTCTTGGTAATGTATTGTTGCAGCCCCTATACTGCTGTCACACACTTGATTGTCTCGTATTACCTGCGAACATCACACGGACTGCCCCCCATATCCACGGTTGTCTTGGTACCCGTATCTAGGTTCATTCCAGTGATGGTGATACGGGTTCCACCAGACTTTGGTCCTTGCTCTGGTCTCAGTCTGTCCACAGTGGGGTCCTGTTTATTAATGATGACAATAAAAAAATTAAGTATTTTCAATCTTTCTTGTTGATGTGGTGAACATAAAATAAAATCCTTTACAGACTCCAAGTATAGAAATAAGTGTTTCACCTATAACATCATTTTATTAGGCGAGTAAAATTTCACTTTTTTTTTTTAGAGTAAAATGACATAATAATGCAATTCTGGTTTTCATTTTCAGCCTATCAGTAAACTCATAGACCTGGTGTAACAATATTTATCTCAGACTTTGGCCTCAATCAATATTGCCCACACCAGGTCAGTAAATCATGGATCGACCTCAAATGACGTCCACACCTGTATAATTTATAAATCTCTTTCTTTGCTTGATGGGTCACTGTGACTGTGATATATATATATGTAACAGCGGTCATTATTTTTATTTTTGTCAATGCCTTAGCCAGGAGTCGAACCCGGGACCTCTGGCTTACTATTCTTACGCTCTACCGAATGAGCTAAAGAGAAAATCTCCCTAGCCGAGTCAGCAGGAAGCGGCTAGTATTCTACCAGGGTGACACCTTGGGAGTAATTTTTCCAGTACCTACCACAAATGCAAAAATTCCCTCCGACTCAGTTGTGTATTGATTGTCGACATTGACCAGGATTTTCCCTACTTGTGTGTTCTGTGTAGGTTCTGTCTCACAGCGAAATCTGTCATGGTAAAAATAACGTCACAGGATTATTTAATCATGAATCGAAATATTTATCAGACCATCACAATGTGTGAAACGGCAGTATTCATTGTGATGATGACCTTGGTAATTCAATATAACAAATGTCCTATTTGGTCTCCTAAGTAACATAATCTATGAACGGCCCTTGTTTACTTACCCTTTGAATAACACCAAACAACATACCCTAGGGATTGACACTACTTACAGGGTACTGCTGCACCAGTTATAATCATGAAAACCCCACTTCAAAGCCATTTTATGAACATGGAATAATCACCCTTTTATATACAGTATATAGAATATGAACAAAATCAAATGTTTCTGGCCAAAGGTTTTTCATACTTCATTTTGATGCTGTGCATGTGTAATTTCTGAAAAACAGCATCAGTAAAGTGTAGGATTGGCAGTAAACAAATCTTGAGTTTGATCCTAGGCCTGTATATTTTTTTCCTTTCATTTTTTTTCTATTTTTTGGGGGGGGGTTGTTTTCAAATACTAAATTTTGCATAGCTTTAATGCTGTAAAATGCATTTTAAGATGATATTTACATGGAATAAGTTTTTAGAAAAATATTTTATCATAGTGATAATGGCAATAATATATATTTTAACTAGCTGGTATTCTTTAACTTAATTCACCCTACAGAAAGCCCCTACATTATAGTAAACTTACCCTATGGAAGGCTCAAAGTGCTCTGGATGGACGGTACACCTTACACCTGCCACTTGCACTCCGCCCTGCAAGTCTGTGTAAGCTTTCCCGAGATTGATCCCTGTCACCGAGATGTTTGTTTTGCCTTGAATTGGACCAGTGCTTGGGTTGAACTGGGGAAAAAAAATAAAAAAATAGCTGTTAGTAAAAAAGCATTTCTTTTCTGTTGTCTCTTTATACCAGGTATATCAGTATTATGCAAAAAGTAGGAATACAAGAGGCCCAATTGGCCAGAATCGCTCACCTGGTATTAATCTCATACTTGTAATCTTAAAAGTGGACTAAAATACAGCTACAGGCAGAATATCAGTGTTTGATTCATAAGAACCTATTAAAAGATTTAAACATATGAGGCCTGTGACCTTGGATGTTGAACAAGGACATTAAGTTGAACAGAGTATATTGTCTTCCAACCCAACATGCTTTTGGTATAATATCATTCACACTGGACCTTTTGGTTATACAGAACGAGTTATTTAAAGATTTAAACATATATTGACCACTGTGACCTTGCATATGGGCGAAGGTCATTCATTTAAACAAACTTGGTAGTCCTTCATCCCAACATGTTAATGGCAAAATATCATCACCCCTTGGCCTTTTGCTTATTGCGAAGTCGTTTAAAGGTTTTAAACATATTTGACCCCTGTGACCTTGAATAAATGTCAAGGTCATTCAATTGAACACACATAGTAGCCCTTCATCCTAGCATGTTACTGGGCAAATATCATTATCCTAGGCCTCTTGGTTATTCAGAAGAAGTTGTTTAACGGTTTTAACAAATTTGACTCATGTAACCTTGAAAAAAAGTCAAGGTCATTCAAGTCAACAAACTTGGTAGCCCTTTATCCCAGCATGATACTGGCCAAAATGCATGATCCTAGGACTTTCAGTTATTGAGAAGAAATTGTTTAAAGGTTTTAAACATATTTGACCCCTATGACCTTGAATATATGACAAGGTCATTCGTTTGAACAAACTTAGTAGCTCTTTATCCCAGCATTTTACTGGCCAATATCATTATCCTAGGCTTCTTGATTATTCAGGAGAAGTCGTTTCAAGGTTTCAAACATATTTGACCCCTGTGACCTTAAATATATGTCAAGGACATTCATTTGAAGAAACTTGGTAGCCCTTCATCCCAGCATGCTACTGACCAAATATCATTATCCTTGGCCTCTTGGTTATTCAGTAAAAAGTTGTTTAAACGTTTTAAACATATTTGACCCATGTGACCTTGATTATAAGTAAAGGTCATTCATTTAAACAAACTTTGTGGCCCTTCATCCCAGCAAATTACTAACCAAATATCATTATCCTAGGCCTCTTGGTTATTCAGAAGAAGTTGTTTAAAGATTTTTTAAGACAATTGACCCCTGTGACCTTGAAAATAAGTGATGGTCATTCATTTGAAAAAATTTGGTAACCTTTCATCCCAGCATGCTACTGGCCAAATATCATCACCCTGGGCATTTTGGTTATTCAGAAGAAGTTGTGTAAAGTTTTTAACATATTTGACCCCTGTGACCTTGAAAATGAGTGAAGGTAATTTATTTGAACAAACTTGGTAGCCCTTCATCCCAGTTTGCTTCTGGCCAAATATCATCACCCTAAACCTTTTGGTTATTAAGAAGAAGTTGTTTAAAGTAAAATATTGACGCCGTATGGAAGCCAGACAGACTACGGACGCCCCACCATGGCATAAGCTCACTTGGCCCTTCAGGCCAGGTGAGCTAAAAAGGGTGGGCTTATTAGCAGGCATGGACTTATTACCAGTACATGTTTCTAGACTATAGGTATTTTCCATGATAACTTATTTACCTAATTTTAAGGGTCCTAATGCACATGTACCGTAAAAACCCATGTAATTTGTATATGTATCAGACAGTAATATTTGTGAGTAAGGACATATATATATTTATACGTACCCTGAGTATCTTAGGATTGGGACACGTCGATGACCGGTCCAGCCAGCTGTCATCGCAGTTTTTCTGCAGTGAGCATTCATCCCCACACCATCCACACTCGTATTCTGCATCCATACTGAGACACTGACCACAGTTTGTCACCATCAAGTTACATTTGTAGATCCGCACTGTGATATAACAGGACATTCTTTAGTAATCTTACCTGTGATTGTTACCAAGGGTAAAGCATGGAGGACAAGAAATCAGTAAAACTGATGGATTAGGGTCCCGGTAAAGGAAACCGAGGCAGGAGGAAAGTCGCAATAAAGACATTACTCCTCAAACAATTTGACCTTTCAATTTACCATAAATATAAAGACCTTGACATTGGGCGTATTGACCCCAAAGTGGTATGCAACACATCATCTTTCTATCCTACATGTTTTATGGCATGGACGATGAAGATGACCTTTGTTCTCAATGCGACCTTTCCCTTGGTCGTACAGACCCAAAAGTTGTAGCCTTGGCCTTTGGCTGTACAGACCCAAAAGTGGTATGCAACAGTTATGGCACTGACAATGTAATAAACCTCTGACCTCAATGTGACCTTGACCTTGGGTGTATTGACCAAATTGTGGTTTGTAAACACAGCCTTGCCATCCTACATTTATCCCGAAATTTAATTGAACTGTCCTACATTTACCTCCAAATTTAATTGAACTATCAAACTTTTTTCCCAAATTTAATTGAACTATCTTTAGTGAATCAGAAATGTTTGGTCTTGACAATGAATTTGACCTTTGACCTCAATGTGAATTTGACCTTTGGCATATGTAAACAAAACAGTGGTAGGCAACACACTGCGTTACCATTCAAAAAGTATCCCTAAAATTTGACAGCCATTTTTGAAAGAAATTGTGGCCTGGACAATGAACTTGATCTTCGACCTCAAATATGACCTTGGACTTGGGCATACAGATCCCATATTCATAAGCGACACACCGCCTTGCCATCCAAAATGTAACATTGAAATTTCATTGAACTTTCTTCAAAATGGCAACTATGTGCTTCCTGAATTATTTTCGGGGAAGTATTATAGATAAGTGAATGCTATTCTTATCTACCGGCCACTTAGTACTGATGTTACAATGGAATTCCAGTTGAAATGATGTCACTTGGACGGTCCAGCGGAAAGAAATCTTACCTGTGATATCCCGTGGGTTGTCCAATGGGAAGTCTTGTGAACCCCATGTCACCTTGAACTTTGCTGTCACATATGCCAAGTCAGCAAGGAACGAAAACTGTAAGATAAACAATAAACAATAAGATAAACAATAAACAATAAGATAAACAATAAACAATAAAATAAACAATAAGATAAACAATAATCCCAGATGTCTATAACTTCTGAAGCTAATAATTTTTGCCAGTTATTTATGGTGTAACTATAACGAATATTATATATCAGTTACCAGGTATCTTAATCAGTACCATTTTCGAAGTTTAAGGGTTCCACTCTACTTATATATTTTCTACACCCTTTGAAAATGTCGTGACAATATCAAAGGCTTTTAGCACAACACCTTGTGGATAATACAAGAAGTCCAGTCGGATGTCTGACGAAAATAAAAAGAACCGTGCAGCACATTGTCACAGTAAAACTGATAGGCTAATAGCCTATACCACGAGCCTCCAATTTTGTCAAGACATATTCCAAGGGTGCGAAGAGAAAAGTGTATGCAGAGCAGAACCTTTCTCTTTCAAAGATGAATAAAAAGTTCTAGTGTAAATATACACATACAAGTATCTATAATATCAAAAGATATAACCCAAGGTCATCAAGTGTTTCCCATAGTAAACTTAATGTCATCAATTTTGTAACTTGATCAACACAAATATTCAACTGAAGTAGTACAAATAACACTGTTTTTTAAAGAATTTTGTCATTGAACTTTCTATAAGATGGGTGTAAACTTTTACTTACCTGAACGGGGTCGCAGGTGAGAAGGGTGGAGCGGATGGTTCCCACGACAACCTGAGTCTGATTTAGGTACTGAAAGTTACACTTGATGTTGGTTGTCTGGTCCGGCTGTAACACAAGTAAACAAACATTTTCGTTCAAACATTGCAAGCAATCAATGTTCCTCAACCTATGGACAGAAAACTTCGGAATCAAAAATTTAAGAAAAGGGCCATAACTCCACATATTATGGGGCATAAAATATGCCACACTCCATCACTCAAGAACCACTCATAAACTTTGGTAATTTACAGGTGACAGAGTTCATGAGATGCCGTCATGCACATGCAAAGTGATGCACATTAAATAAATCAAATGCCTTAAATCTGTTTATAATAGTGGGACACAAGGCTGTATTTTAGAAGTGTAACACTTTGCCATCACAAGAGGTGCGCATATATGCTGGCATATAAAATTTGATAAATGTAGGTGATGAGAGATTAGGAGATATGCCCCAAGCAAAGTGATGCATGTTGAACAAAGGGCCATAACTCTGAATTCATTGGGACACAAGTACCAATCAAAGAAATAGGATACAAGAGGTGCTCACAAATAAAATATGGAAATTGTAGGTGACATAGTTTATGAGATTATATGCCCTGTGCAAAGTGATGCATGCTGAACAAAGGGCCATGATTATTCTGTATGTAGTGCAATGCAATACAGGATCAAAATTCAGACACATAACGCTTTGCCATCACAAAATTTGGCGATTGAGTAAGTACTGTGTTATTTTCAATATTTATAAACTTTTTCTTTCTACTTTGATGACAATATTGACAAGTGATATGTCTGCCCACACACAAGGTTGACTTTTAATGAGGTCACTAACACAGAACATGGCTATACGACTTTTAATGAGGTCACTAACACAGAACATGGCTATACGACTTTTAATGAGGTCACTAACACAGAACATGGCTATACGACTTTTAATGAGGTCACTAACACAGAACATGGCTATACGACTTTTAATGAGGTCACTAACACAGAACATGGCTATACGACTTTTAATGAGGTCACTAACACAGAACATGGCTATACGACTTTTAATGAGGTCACTAACACAGAACATGGCTATACGACTTTTAATGAGGTCACTAACACAGAACATGGCTATACGACTTTTAATGAGGTCACTAACACAGAACATGGCTATACGACTTTTAATGAGGTCACTAACACAGAACATGGCTATACGACTTTTAATGAGGTCACTAACACAGAACATGGCTATACGACTTTTAATGAGGTCACTAACACAGAACATGGCTATACGACTTTTAATGAGGTCACTAACACAGAACATGGCTATACGACTTTTAATGAGGTCACTAACACAGAACATGGCTATACGACTTTTAATGAGGTCACTAACACAGAACATGGCTATACGAGTGTTTTATTGATGGGTCCATTACCTGTAGATTGGCCACCCCAACCGCTATCTGTTTCGACTCCCCAGAGTGGACCACAATGTCCGTATCCAGTGAAGGACTGTCAATCATTGGACAAGCATTAACATTGGTTACTGGAGCTGCCTGTAAATACAATAAAAATATGATGCAATCTGGAAAACACAGTTTCTATAATGTATCACTGCATTTTGTTTGATTTTTGCAATCTGGAAAATACAATTGTTAAAATGAATTTCTGCATTTTGTTTTATTTTTGCAATCTAGAAATTACAATTGTTAAAATGAATTTCTGCATTTTGTTTCATTTTTGCAATCTGGAAAATATAATTGTTGAAATGTATTTCTGCATTTTGTTCGATTTTTTGCAATCTAGAAAATACAATTGTTAAAAATGTATTTCTGCCTTTCGTTTTATTTTTTCCACAGTTCCATTTGTAGCTGTTATAATTACTATTGATAATTGAACTTCCTGAAGTAGTACTGGCAGTATAGCTGCAGCTGTTATTTCATTGATGTTCTACTTACTCCTGTAGTTACACTTCCAGTACGACTACAGCTGTTGGTGTCATGGTGCCACTCACAGGTGAAGTTACTCATTGTACAGGTGGTACAGCTGGCAAACAGGTAAACACAGGTACAAATACTGTTAGTCATACAGGTAAATACAGGTACAAATACAGGTAAATACAGGAATAAATACTGTTAGTCATACAGGTAAATACAGGTGGCAAACAGGTAAATACAGGTACAAATACAGGGACAAATACTGTTAGTCGTACAGGTAAATACAGGTACAAATACAGGAACAAATACTGTTAGTTGTACAGGTAATTACAGGTAAATACAGGTACAAATACAGAAACAAATACTGTTAGTTGTACATGTAAATACAGGTAAATACATGTACAAATACTGTTAGTTGTACAGGTAATTACAGGTAAATACAGGTACAAATACTGTTAGTTGTACAGGTAATTACAGGTAAATACAGGTACAAATACAGGGACAAATACTGTTAGTCGTACAGGTAAATACAGGTACAAATACAGGAACAAATACTGTTAGTCATACAGGTAAATCCAGATACAAATACTGTTAGTTGTACAGGTAAATACAGGTAAATACAGGTACAAAAACAGAAACAAATACTGTTAGTTGTACAGGTAAATACAGGTAAATACATGTACAAATACTGTTAGTTGTACAGGTAAATACAGGTAAATACATGTACAAATACTGTTAGTTGTACAGGTAAATACAGGTAAATACAGGTACAAATACAGAAACAAATACTGTTAGTTGTACAGGTAAATAAAGGTACAAATACTGTTATACATACAGGTAAATACAGGTGGCAAACAGGTAAATACAGGTATATACAGGAACAAATACTGTTAGTTGTACAGGTAAATAAGGTGGCAAACAGGTAAATATAGGTACAAATACAGGTAAATAAAGGAACAAATATACTCTTAGTTGTACAGGTAAATACGGGTGGCAAACAGGTAAATACAGGTACAAATACTGTTAGTCATACAGGTAAATACAGGTACAATTACAGGTAAACACAGGTACAAATACTGTTAGTCATACAGGTAAATACAGGTACAAATACTGTTAGTCATACAGGTAAATACAGGTGGCAAACTGGTAAATACAGGTATGAATACAGGAAAATACAGGTACAAATACAGTTAGGTGTACAGGTAAATACAGGTAGCAAACAGGTATATTCAGGTAAATACAAGTATAAATATTGCTAGTAATACATTTTGATAATTTAACTTTCTTGAGGTGACATACATAAAATATTGCAATATCATTCTCTTTATTTTGTCCAACTTTTACAATCTAAGAAACGAATACAGTCTCCAATACATTTAACGATGCAAAATTGCATAACATAACTGTTGAAACTAATCTCCTAAGACTACAAATAAAAGCCATTGATCTCCGATATGTCTGTGCCTTCCATGACAGTATTGAGGTAACAGCTTACTTTTGGTGAGGACGACAGTCAAACACGGGAACACTGCGCTTCACCACGGCTCGTCCTCCCACGAGGAATTCCACCTGGACGTCTGTGTAGTCTGTACCAATAGAAAGCCGCTTCTTTGTTTAGTAAGGGGTAACATAACAACCTATACCTATACATATATACCTATATACTTACCTCCTACACTACACAATTTGATCCCATCCCTTTATCAATAATTATATATATCAGTGACCAGTCCTACTTCTAATTTAAATTATAATCGAGTTCTTGTATGCTGACTTGGACATTTTTATTAGGTTTATATAAACTTTATTTATTTCACAACAATTATGAAACAAGTTTTTACAACTTACACTAATCTCTCTTGTGCATGTTAGCGCATATTACTGTGGGAGGAAACCAGAGTACCCGGAGAAAACCCACATGGACGGGCAGGTGATATACCTTGTCTCATCCGATCGGGGAATCGAACCCCGGCCGCCTTGGTGAAAGGCAAGGTCACTATCCACTGCACCACACGACCACCCGATTTTCTTTGGTTGTGCGACTCCTACTGAATTCTAATTTGCTTCTATCAATCAGTGAAGAGCTGTGATACTGATGTTGAAAATTCATGTGTATGTTTGTGTTGGTGACATGCACATTCTTGAGAGCTACCAGATCATTGCAATTTTGATTGGTGGGAAATACAAGATAATCACGGCCGAGATCTGTGGGAATAATAATAGACCATGGCTGCAGAGTCAGCTGGTTTCTATGATCAGTGGGAAATATCACATCATGGCGGCTGATATTATATAACTGGTCAAATATGAAGCATTCATATTATAAATGATAAGATTTTATTACCAAGAATAAAAGCAAATACAAAATTTGGGTCAGTAACATTAAGAAATTATTGTGTACAAGTGATAAATGTCTTGAATCACAAAAAATATGTTATCTGTAAATTGCATCAAAACATTCTCTCTAGGATTGCACCTTAATTATAAGTTGTATATTGTTTTGCGATTAGTCGTTATCACACACAATCATATATATATAGCAACTTCCGACTTTACACTAATGTAAGATTTACGACAGGGGAGATAAATCGAGTGGATTGTCTAGGGTGCTATATTTCTTGTGATAAAAGGATTTATTGATGGCCAGTAACAATAACAACGTATGTCTATTCTGCTATCTTCTTTTACAGCTGCAAGCATGTCGCCATAACATATGCGTCTTTTATGTAAAACTTAAGTGGTTTTATTGATTTCAAGTATCTATCTGTACAATTAAAACCTGTATATGCTAAGCTCGGAAGAAAAATGCAAATCTTATGTAAATTATTTTTACCAAAAAGATTTAATTTCATTCTGGCTTTTTATTTCTTCCAGCACCTCTTAGCAATTTGTAACAAAATAAAACATTAGCAGATAGTTCTTGTCAGATAATGAAGAAATTAATCAATAGGAAATAAATAAATAGGAAGGATCTTGTGTGAAGGGGCTCAGTGGAAAAACAAACCTGAAAGGACATTATCAGGGAGTGAAGACAAAAAAACAATCGTAACCCTTGGATCTAACTCAAAGTTGATTGCATATGTGCACTGCTCAAGATATTTAAGCTTCAAACAGATACCAAGTATGTACTATGTACATGTATTACCAAAAGTATTGGAATGAATCAAAGAAATCCTTTATTGCAGAAAGCTAAAAATAGAATCTAGTAAACAGCAGTAGAATACACCAATCACACCTGTGTTACTGCCCGTTCACGTCTCATAAAACTAACCAATCCACATTTACATACCAGCAAAATCATGTCTCTCACGTAACAAAATTCACATCACAGCAAATACAGGATATCATCAAACAGATATTGTGTAGAAATGCTCTTCTACGTAGAATCTCAACAGAAATCGTTTCTAACCCTAATGACAATGGTTTTCTGCCGGCATCTGTTTTATTTTAAATGTTCATCAAATTCTAATCAGACAATTTATAATAAGACCTAATTTGTTGGCGATCAGTTAGAAGATTGGACATTTTCCCTCAGTACAAGACACCTCCAGAAAACTCTTCATTTCCTCCTCAATCATGTCTGGCCCGGTGTAAAGTGAACATTTGTTTATGTCCAAAATTAAGGACCCAAAACTTTAATCTCTAATACTATTTAATGACAGTATGGCTACTTGAATAGAGGCCAAGGTTCTTTAATAATATCATGGGGATAGTAAGATCTGGGTGACAGGATGCCCAGTAGGCCTGTATCACTCACTTATCATTCAAGAGCTGTTGGCAAATAAATCTTTCATTTGTGACTTTCAATTTAGGTCAAGTTCATATTCATTTAAACAAAGATGAGGGAAGGCCAGGTAACACTACACGTTTTAAACCTTTTAACACATTTACCCCCTGCTACCTTTAAAGTAGGTCAATGTCATTCATTTGAACAAACTTGACAGCCCTTCATCCAAGTATGTTACTGACCAAATATCACCCTTGCAAGCATGGCCTCTTGGTCATTCAGAAGAAAATGTAAGTTGTGATATGGCCTCTGTGACCTTGAAAGTGGGTCATGACAATTTCTTTGAACAAGATGATAGCCCACATTCATCCCAGTATGCTACAAGCCAAATATCAGGACCTTAGGCCTCTTTCTAATTCAGAAAAAAAATGTTTAAACAACAAGTTGATGGCAGGTATTGCACTTTGGTATAAACTTTTAACTTGTCCATTGGGGAGGAGAGCAGAAACCATCAGTTATCTTCATAATTTGTTCCTCCTTTTATTTTTATTAAATTTAAGGCATAAACGGGTGAAAGCAGTAAACCTAGATACATCTAAGTGATGCATTCCCATTTTGACTATAATTGAAATTTTCCTTGAAATTTATAACACAATGAGGGTGGAGTGACAGTTAAATCAATAAAGGAAATCAGTTGAAATTCCCCACAGAATTGATAGTTGTATAGTTTAATTATAAACATAAAACTGAACAAGTTCTCAGCACAATTTGATATGATATATTGGGTTACCCAAGGACTATAGTCGTGCCAAGATGTTGGTTTCTTACCGTAATCATGTTTATAGAATTCCCTAAATTTCAGTTGTATATTACCAGCAAGTTCCCATCGCTGCAGACAATCACCTCAACATTTAACATAAGCAGACAAGACCAATTTTATTTTAAATTTACCAGATTTATTTGAAATATATCTCCAATAACAAAAGGACAGGAAGTCTAGTAAAACTTGAAGGACAGCATTCTTTCATTATCATCTACATGTGTTACAATGCCACGAGTATATTTTTAGAAGATGTTTTTCCATTGTAATTCTGGGTTGTGTAACTATGGTAATTATAACATCATGTAATACTAGGGTAATTCTGAGATGATGTGTCACCATGGTAGCCATGAGATGATGTGTCACCATGGTAATTTTGACATGATGTGTCACCATGGTAATTCTGACATGATGTGTTACCATGGTAATTCTGAGATGATGTGCCACCATGGTAATTTTGAAATGATGTGTCACCATGGTCACCATGAGATGATGTGTCACCATGGTAATTCTGACATGATGTGTCACCATGGAAATTCTTACATGATGTGTCACCATGGTAATTCTGACATGATGTGTCAACATGGTAATTCTGACATGATGTGTTACCATGGAAATTCTGACATGATGTGTCACCATGGAAATTCTTACATGATGTATTTCAATGGAAATTGTGACATAATGTGTCACCATGGTAATTCTGACATGATGTGTCACCATGGTAATTCTGACATGTGTTTCCATGTTAATTTTGAGAAGATGTGTCACCATGGTAATTCTGACATGATGTGTTACCATGGTAATTCTGACATGATGTGTCACCATGGTAATTCTGAGATGATGTGTCACCATGTTAATTCTGACATGATGTGTCACCATGGTAATTCTGAGATGATGTGTTACCATGGTAATTCTGACATGATGTGTCACCATGGTAATTCTGAGATGATGTGTCACCATGGTAATTCTGACATGATGTGTTTGAATGGAAATTGTGACATGGTGTGATAATATGGTAGTTCTGACATGATGTGGTAACATGGTAGCCATGGGATAATGTGTCACCATGGAAATGGTGACTTGATGTGTTTCCATGGTAATTCTGAGATGATAAGTTAGTTACCATGGGGGTGCTGAGATGTGTTATTCTTTCAAAGTGTATTACCATGGTTTTTCTAACATGATGTGTTACCATGGTACTTCTTCTATATGTTGCTGTGGTAATTCTGTCAAAGTGTATTACCATGGTTTAATTCTGATATGTATTACCATGGTAGATATGACATGTGTTGCTATGGTAATTCATGATAATGCTGATATGATGTTTTACCGTGGTCAACTGAAAATATTCCATGACCCCAGGTCCCTGTTAAAATCCCCGTTACCATGGTCCCAGGTCCCTATGAATATCCATGTTATTTACCAGTATTGCATGTTTCGTGTGTTTAGTATTTCAGCAGGACAGAAATATGCTAGGTGTTGGGTCTGTGATAAAACACTGGACGGAGCGCCGCCTGACATGGTTGCAGCCCCAAATGTTATAACTGACAACTATTAAATAAGGGGAATGAAGGTTTCGCATGTATTTCTGACATCATGCCGGCAAAATGTCTGCATACTGACAAGTTTACAGAATCTAAAAACGAGTCCCAAACACGCCAGATGTTGTCCTAACTGAAATTACAGAGCAAATTTAATCCCAATCACACATACGAGCTTAAAATACTACATGAATGTTGATCAATCCAATTAAACATTCCCGCAGAAAACATAATTACATGCTCATGTATAAAACATTCAGGTTAGATCATATCTTTATAAAGTTAACTTGAAGATATACACACTCCTTAGATTATATACTCTAGCTTCACACGATGACTACTGAAGCCTGCGTCAGTGAAAAGCTCGGCTAACAGTTTTAATACTGATCCAATCTGTGTTCTTTCTTCGAAAAATTTAATCAGTATATAATATTAAGTTCGTGACATGTAAGAAAGTTTAATGTCTTTTTTCGCAGCAGCAGCAGCAGTCTTAGAAGTTGCCTTACATGTGCTGCAAGAAACCTCGATAGCTCCCGACACGATAGAACCGATTAATCATTTGATTGATATGCTGAATTCTACAAGTTCTTATGTCATATATTGAATAAAATGTACAATCTTCGGTAAAAAAAATCAAAGTTTTGAATAAAGATAAATAGATTTTGAGACTATTAGAAAGTTTTTGGCAAGATTCTCGGGCAAAATCAATACGTATTTCCCCCTTAAACTAACTCAATCAGAAGATACCATTTCGCCTATATCATAGTTACTGCATCACCAATAACGACGGCCTCACAAAGGCATTGTGAGAATCTCAACCAAGGCGACATTCCAACATTTATCGGCATGGAAATACGACCTTTGTCTGCAGCGAGGGTCGAAATATGGATAATTGACCGTACTACCATAAATTTACATTTTCATTCTAGGAACAGAAAATGTGAAGGAAACTGGAGATGTATCATGCAGTGCTGTAAATTTTAAGGACACTCGTTCCACTGCCAAAAACTGTAACTAAATGTAAATCATTTTCAGGCATCTTAATATAGCTTAGATAAATCATTTCTGAAAAGAAAGTGAGAGGCTAAACAGGGATTCAAACCCTCAACTTTATATTGTTATATTATGGCTCTGTATTGTACCTATTGAAAGTGGACAAGAATTTGAAACACTAGAACTTAATTTGACTCATTAATCAAGCATTTTCCCTATTGATACTTTACCTGACTTCGACCCATTAATTGTGAAATGTACCCACAGACACTTGAACAGAATTTGACCATTGATTCCGTATCGTACCAACAGACACTGGACCAGGACTTGACCATTGATATTGTATTGTATCTACTGACACTGGACCAGACTCTAACCCACTAATCATTGTACTGCATTTTACCCCGTTGAGAGGTCAGTGATGGGTAAAGCACTGCGTATAAGTTTTATAAAAATAAGAAGTCGATGGATGTGAGGATGGCCAGATAACCTGCTGCATCACGACCCTGTCTATTGGGGTCCATCCCTCTTATATCAAACGCTTTATATGATATTGAGTCAGCATCATCCAGACTCTTCTTCATCTACTTGGCCTGTGATTACATGTCACTTGGTAAATAGTTTTAAATCAATTTGTCTAGAATTGGTGGTGACGGACACCTTGATACTACAGAGCTGATGGAACTGTCTGGACTGTGTAGACTGGTAGAGAAAAGGTTGACCGACCAATCAGAGGGGGTTTGAAGGATGCACAGACCATCTGTGTAAGGTTACAGCAATTTTTAAAGACTGACGAAGCGACAACGGCATGGCATAAACCTTTGTACAGGAACTGAAATTCAGTGTACTAATGATGATTGTAGTGTCTGGACCAGCACTAGATAGTATATGATAGATGACTGTTATATATAGGTTTACGAAACAGAAAGTACACAACGAATGCTTCATACAATATCAATGTCTACAGTTTTTATAGTACATCTGATAACTCAATTTTATCCCAATTGTATTACCACTTAAGATAAGATAAATACACCTTTGATATTTCTGTTATCTGGCTACAATATAATATATTAAATGAAAAGGGGTATCACGGTAGGAGGCAATTATTGGTAGTCTGGTGGTAGGACGACGGGCTCGTGACCGAAGGGTTGCGGGTTCGAGTCACATCACGGCACTGTGTTGTATCTTTGAGCAGGATACTTTACTCCGCTTTTTCCAGTCTACTCAGCTGTAAATGAGTATGTGGTTGGGCAGTGCTAGAATTGTTGAATGCTAGCTGTGAGCGCCGAAAAGGAATTTGAGAAATATATTGGCTGGTTGGGAAGGCCCTCTAACCACGGATAATAGTTTGTGAACCGCTTTGAGACGACCAGAGTACAAACTAGGTTGTGATTAAGCGGTATATAAGAACCTCGAATTATTGTTATTATTATTATAAAAAAAGCGCCCTAGAGTGTATCATGTCACATTTCAATACAGAATGTTCTTGGATACGTATCCCAATATAATGTCAGAGGGGAAAAGTGCACAATTTAAAAAGAAAGAATGTTATCAAACTGAATCATATTTATGGATCGCGCAGGTTTAAGATTTTCATTAAACCAACCATCGCTTATGCAATTTCAACTGATTCCCACCCCCAGTAATAGCCTCTGTTTAAGTTTATTGGCATATCTGTTAGAATGTGTATATATCGTAATCTGATAGCTTAAAACACCTAAGTGATACATGGAATTATCGAAATACAGCGATATTACATTTCTGCAATATGTGATTTGATATCATATGCCTGTGTATTGTGATTTACCAGTTTTCCGATATATTATGACAGCTAGCCCAATTAATGAACTTTCAAATGATATAAACAGTAGCTAGTGGGCTTATGGGCGGCAGCAGACTCTTTAATGCTTGATTTTACACAAGATCAAACCTTGAATGTATCAACAATATGTATGTATAACTCTAATCTACACTTACTGTCACACAACTTCTGTATTGCGATTCCATATCATATGCTTGTGTATTGTGATTAAGCAATTAAATGAACTTCTAAATAATCCCTTTTTTTTTTAACTTGTATCAACAATATACATGTACATATCTCTACTATACACTGTCACAAAATGTTTAGAACTCAATGAATGTCACCATGTTAAAAGGAACAGAGAAATCCTGTTGACTTACTATAACATCAATACTGGCAATACTAAGACATGTAAAACAGAATATCGAGTCAAATAGATGTTAGTACATTTGTATCCTCCTCCTCACAATAGTATGCTGGGCTTTTTTGTCCTCGTGTGTTAAGTGAAGCATCTAGCTATAATCTACAGGGTACCCAATACCCAAAGTTAGACACACACCAAATGTTAAATGATAGGATTATATGGCCTATCGGTATTAGTGGTACAATCGATTAATGCAGTTAGGATGGTTATAATCAAAGCGAGTAAATTAAACCAAGCAAACATTTATAACATCTACACACAATAAAAATTGGTTAGCTTGAATGTTTCAATTGAAAACTGTTTTAACAAATATCATAATAATGAAAATTAGTAAATTTCTCATCAGATTGTAATGATGATTTAGTATGTTAAAAATTATTTCCTACAGGTTGCACACAATATTGACAGGTTAATTGAATGTTGAAGTTCAAAACTGTTTTTAACATTGTATCGTTACAATGAAATTACCGTAATCCTCATCAGAATGTAATGATGATTTAGTGCATTAAAAATGGGAGGCTATACACAAGAATAATTAGTTGGTTAGTTTGAACGTTTCAATTTAAAACTAGTTTTAAGAAATATACACAATGAAAATTATTATTTTCCTCATAAGAATGTAATAATGATTTAGTAATTTTTTTTTTCTTTTTCTACAGGCTTTGTGTTGGTTCCTGTCATCAAATATCTTATCTATTAAGATACATAATACACTATCAATTTATTTAGCTGGTAATTTTGCTCCTCTTATATTTGATCAATACAGTTTAATTGAACTCCAACAGTTTTCCAAGTAATCCATGAATAATTCAGAAATGGTTTGCTCTGGAAGATCCTCTTTGAAATATAAGTGCCTTAGCAACAAAGTTTGCTCGATAGCTCAACTGTCAATGTGGTATTACATCTACTACTGACACATCCTATGGGTTTTTTCCTAGTAAGTTTTGGATTAGTACTAGAGATTTTCAGGTAAGAGTTGGCAGAGGTTAGCTGTGTCTGGGTAAAGTGGGTAATTAGTATTACCTGTAGGTTCTGCCATTTTGTGTAGTGTTACGCATGCTAAATAGTTTAGTAGGTATATATCTTAATAGACAATTCTGATATCAAAATATACCACAAATCTGTCTCTAAAAGATATAGAGGAGAAGACAGGTCGAGCAGGCTCCTATTAGGAACAGTGTATAAGCAAATTTAGTTTCTAGCCTCACTCTTTGTATAGACTAGTAGAGGTTTCTAGCAGTAATATAAATATTCTAGCTGTCACAGTTAATTGTATAGTGTCCTAGTTCCCGCAACCAAACTGGCCTCAAAATTCACCAACAAATCTGACGCTTACGGTCAAGATTCCATCGTAACAAATTTGATCATAGTATATTTTTGTTTTTTCAGCGGCGACAGTGTGACTGTACAGTGTTACAAAATGTATAACGTTGCCTCATCTCATTTAACCAGAATATCATATCATCAGTAATAGAGGCAAAATTCCAGGAAATACACGATCCTTTTACACATAATTTTATTTCCAGTAACGTGGAAACAAATGAGTATTAAATTTTCAATGCTCTATTGCTTTTTTTTTTACGTGATAAGTACACAGGACCGTCAGTTGAGTTAGACTTGGTGTTGGAGAATTTTAGACCACACATCCATTACAAACAGTATCAACAACATGACATGGTGTCTTCTTGTTACTTTTAGTGTACTGTACAAAATATGGTTAAAGTGACAATGTTTACACATTGACAAAAAGTATTTGTTACTAAAGGTCAAAAGTCAAACTTTCTTTTTTAATATCTCAAATGATTTCTTAATCTAAAAGCGGCCTGAAAACACATATTTGTAGGTACAGTACACTTCTACAAATTACAGTTATGTAAAGCTTTGAAAATGTGTAAAAGAATTTCAATTACAAAAATGACGTTTGACGTTTTAAGAAACTGTTTTCAAAGCTTTACTCTTTCGTACCGGAGGTTCACTCTCATTTAACATGTCATTAATTGTACAAACGGTGTGCAAGTGGTCTCAAAGTTTATTTCGTAAAATTATTTAAAAAAAATTAAGTTTACACTAATGTTTAAGCACCGTCTTTCAGTTAATCCATTTACAAGCTATTTGAAAATCTAACATTAGGTCAGTGATACGACAAAAAAGGAGGTTTACTTCATGTCTGTCTGTGAGACGACCTGCACGTAATGTTAATTGTGGTTACCAGATGGAAAGCAAGTTAAAGCGAGGACGGCCCAGCACACTACTCACCCTTACCCTCGGGAAGTACCGGCAACTTTGGGCGTGACGGTAACGGGCAAGTCACCGTCTCACCGTCAATCTGAGCTGCGGTCTTAGACATGGTGTCCTGGCTGGAGAAGTAACACAGGAGGTCAAGGTCACCCGAATCTCTAGGGTTCAACATGATCTCTTCTAGTCTAAAGGTTATCTGTTGAAAAAAAAACAAAAAAACTTGACACTTAAATATAGTCTTATATGTACTATATATCTATAGAATATGTTCATATTCTCTCTCCCAGAGTCATTATTACAAATGTTCTGTCAGAGAAATTTCATATCTTGTATTTAAAACATATGTTATTACCTACAGTCGAATTGTTCTTTGTTATAGCTTTCCATCAACTCAAAACCACACAAAACTTTTATTGTTTTGAGAAAAAAGAAAAAAAAGCTAATTTGAAGATCTGTTATATTTATTAATTTAAACATATTCAAACCGAAATGACCTGAGGTGTTGACCTTTACGAGGCATATTCTTATCAGGCAGTACCTGGATACCTTTATTTTCAGGTATGCTACCCTGTTCATTGTTCAGATGTACCAAGTACAAGCCCTGGAACATCATGCCCCATTATCAATATGGCTACAACAGCTATAGGGTCATATGAGGATGGGTGCCTGAGGAGTTACCGCCGGAAAGGGAAAGTAGACAGAAAAGGGAAAGTAGATAGCACCCCCGATTCTTCAGGGGGGCCACACTAGACGCTTCTTACGATCGTGCAGTGGGAAACAGCGGGCCTATTCTTTCTCCTAACCTGCACTGGTACTACGGTAATTGGAGGTAACTATGACAGGTCATTTTGGTCCGACTATACCAGTACACCAAGACCTAACATAAAATCAAGTTAATCTTATTGAGTTTATGTACTGCTTGGAACACCTCGGCTCGGAACTTGACAGCAAATCAAGCTGGGACCGAAATCAATCAATACTTATCAGAAACTGGTATTAGATTATTTTTCTACTACATGCAGAATTTAACATGTAAAATGGATGAAGATAGTATATTTTTGGCAACTTTTTGAAACCTTTTAATTGCTTTGATACCACAATAGATTGATGTCATGATAGAAAAAGACATTCATTTGGTTTCTGACATTAGCGATTCCAGAATAACTGAATAAAGAAGAAAAAATTAGTACTGGGATTTTTTTCTTGGAAAATTGTCAACATTCAAGACAGACGTTTCTACAGAGGTTAAGGCATTTTCAGCATGGTAGACAAACGTGAACTGTGAGATATTTTTATTTGCCAGACACATCACCTGTTGTTTCTCAATATCGGAGTCCAGTTTTTCATAGCTCAGAACGTGGGGTTGTACTTCCACCATCCTTGCACATGCTCCTTGTTTGGCGGGTAACCAGTGTGGGTAGACTGCAGAGGACGGACAGCTTTCCTGCTCCAGACACCTGTAAGGGTCAAGGTCACATCAAGGTTAACATTACAACTAACATTCCTTCAATGTGAAGTGGAGAATTTACTTTTTGTTATGTCTGGTCTCCATGGTTACCAAAGCTTATCCTTGGTTGCCATGGGTTACCAGAGGTTATCCTTAGTCTCCATTAGTTACCACAAGTTATCCCTAACCTCCAGGGATTACCACAGGCTATTTCTGGTTTCCATGGGCTACCACAGCTTATCTGTGGCATGGATAGTGGACTGCAGGTTATCATGGTCTCCATTTTCCCAGTTTATCCCTGGTCCCCATGGGCGACCCCAGTGACTATAGGTCATCCCTGGTCTCCATGGGTGACTACATGTCATCCCTGGTCTCTATGGGTGACCCAAGGTTATCCCTTGTCTCCATGGGCGACCCCATTGACTACAGGTCATCCCTGGTCTCCATTGGCAACCCCAGTGACTACAGGTCATCCCTGGTCTCCATGGGCGACCCCAGTGACTATAGGTCATTCCTGGGCTCCATGGGCGACCCCAGTGACTATAGGTCATCCCTTGTCTCCATGGGCGACCCCAGTGACTATAGGTCATCCCTGGTCTCCATGGGTGACTACATGTCATCCCTGGTCTCTATGTGTGACCCCAGGTTATCCCTGGTCTCCATTGGTGACCCAAGGTTATCCCTGGTATCCATGGGTGACTACATATCATCCCTGGTCTCTATGGGTGACCACAGGTTATTGTTGATCTCCATGGGTGACTACAGGTTACCCTGTGTTTTAATACCATGAGTTTCCTAATTGTCCGTATTAGTGAGTTAAACTATAATGGTACCTAAACTGTTTACTTTCAATGGATTGCTATTGCTTTTAGGTACATTTACTCAATTTTGAATTTAAAATTCCTCATCTCAAGTTTAAATCTGATTTACAGATGAACTTCAGCTCAGCTATGATACATAACCTTTGATACATGTGTGTAATTTCTATAGTAACATGTTCTGCTGTACCCCCGGGAGTCATTATCTTACCCAACCGACAGCTGCGCTACACAACAGTTGTTCCCCCTCAATACAGAAATGTGCTAACATTCTCACATCTTCTAAACTCAAAGGCATTTTAATGTCTTTAAAAGCAAAGGGGAGTAAAAGATAACACCACACATTCTGCAACATATGAATATTTTACTATCTCCAGTCTAGACCAGACTTTATAGTGCATTGTTTTTAATACTTTATTTCAGTTCCTATAAACTACAGAACAATGCCTATTGGGCTGACTCTGGTCTCTCTATTACAGCATTGTGTAACTTGTCTAATATATCTTTATTAAACCCTGCAAAATTCAGAAACCTGTGTAAGGCTAAACTTCACTGACAACATTTCTATGTAAGTTTAATGTATGTATTCAGAAAACCCAACGGATTCCAAATACAAAAGTGTTCCTATGGTGTTCAATTAAGAAATGTTTAATGTAGTTCAATCATGAAATATATCTGTTTCTACCAGCCACACACAGGGTTATGTGAACCAGGATAGCAGTACATTATACCTGTACACAGGGTTGTGTTAACTAGGACAACAATACACTTCGACATTATACCTGTTCTCTACCAGTTGTAGGGTCATGTGAACCTGAATAGCAACAAATATGAAGTAACCTGTTCAGACACACACAGGGTCATGTGAACCCAATTAGAATCATTATATGCAGTATACCTGTTCTCCATAACACACCAGCCACACACAGGGTCAGGTGAAGCCGTACACTCCTCACAGGATACCTTCTCTTCGCAGTGTCGAATGTCCACGATCACCAGCTAAAACATTGAGTAAATAAATCATCACACACACATCAGCTAATATACGGAAAAGACTCAGCATTTTAGTGATAATCTTACATAAGTTTTTTTTCTCTATGACACAGTAGTGATGTAATACATGTGATGACTAGAGGCATTTTGGTCCTCAGAAGCAGTCATTCCAGCATTTTAACAAATCTGACTGCAACCTTGAATATTGGTCAATCTCTTTTGATTTTGCAAATTTTGTAGTTCTTTATGCCAGGAAGCTACTGGTCAGAAAACCATGACTCTAGGCTTTTTGGTTCTTCAGATGAAGTATTTTTTTGTGTTTTAACATTCAAATATTGCACCATGCATGTATTTGTAAAGCTCCCCTTAGTGGCGTGTCTATTGACTGATTTTATTTATTTTGCAGACTACAGACCAGGCACTAACTTGCTAGCTAATGAATATGAAAACATTGGAGTGGCTTTTTACTTACAATGAATAAATCTAGATGCCCTAAATTTTAGCCCTTTTATGCTCATGATGGGTCCCCAAATTGTGCTAGCCCCATGTACATCTAAATCAACATCACCTAGGAATACTTCCTACCAAAATTGGTTAAAATTGGTCAAGTGTTTTTTAAGAAGAGGTGGTTCGAAGAAAACGCTTACAGACAAATGATGGGCAATGGACAACGGACGAAACCAGATTGCTGGAGCTTGCTAGGCCCTTTGGAGCCATGTGAACTAAAATTAGGGAGATAACTTTTCAAGACATGATAATATCTATCCTGCATTGCCGATCAAAATTAATCCCATCATAATATTATGATTAACAACAAAAACTTAACATAAGCTGTTCTTATCATGTAATAAGGACAATGACACCCTGTAACATGGAAATTTCTTTTCTGTTTGTGTGAGTGCGAGTATAATGCATCACCTCTTAACGCGCGGACAGGAACAGGAAGTGGCTGATGTAAGGGCCGTTCTGTCAAAAGGCTTGTGGAATGAAAACACATCATTACCACCGTGTTCCTTCCTTTAACTTATTGATCTAACGATACAAATCCCTATGACAAGCTACACCAACAAATCTTGTACCATACATTACTAACAAGAAATAAAGAGACCACAGATTTCCATTTCCTTTGGTTTTGTCAGATATTAAAAAACAAATAGCTAAATGTGCACGAAGGAACATCACATAATGGTCCATTGTCTAAAAAACAACATCTAATATAATGGTCCATTGTCTAAAAAACAAACTTTTGATATAATGGTCCATTGTCTGCCTCCCTGGAATTTAATGTCTTCTGAGTCACAGGTCATCGCTGGTAACACTATCACAAGTCTTACTTTTGCCTATCCTTTTTCAATATATAGAGTCATAAATTTGCCCTTAGTAACTACAAGTCACACCAGCCCCTGATTATCATAACAGTCGAATCTGTCCCTAGTAACTACAACAGTCACATCTGTGCCTAGTAGCTACAACAATCACACCAGTCCCTCGTTACTACAACAGTCACAACAGTCCCTAGTAACTACAACAGTTACACCAGTCCCTAGTTACTACAACAGTCACATCTGTGCCTAGTAACTACAACAATCACACCAGTCCCTCGTTACTACAACAGTCATACCAGTCCCTCGTTACTACAAAAGTCGCGTCTGTCCCTAGTAACTACAACAATCACACCAGTTCATAGTAACTACAACAATCACACCAGTTCATAGTAACAACAACAGTCACATTTGTCCCTATTAACTACAACAGTCACACCAGTCCCTTGTAACTACAACAGTCATATCTGTCCCAAGTAACTACAACAGTCACATTTGTCCCTATTAAATACAACAGTCGCACCAGTCCCTATTAACTTCAACAGTCACACCAGTCCCTATTAACTACAACAGTCACACCAATCCCTAGTAACTACAAGTCACACCAGTCCCTAGTAACTACAACAGTTACACCAGTCCCTATTAACTATAACAGTCACATCTGTCCCTAGTAAATACAACAGTCATACCAGTCCCTATTAACTTCAACAGTCACAACAGTCCCTATTAACTACAATAGTCAAACCAGTCCCTAGTAACTACAACAGTCACACCAGGCTATAGTAACTACAACAGTTACGCCATTCCCTATTAACTACAACAGTCACACCAGTCCCTAGTAACTACAACAGTCACAACAGTCCCTATTAACTTCAACAGTCACACCAGTCCCAAGTAACTACAACAGTCACATCTGTCCCTAGTAGCTACAACAGTTACACCAGTCCCTTTTAACTACAACTGTCACACCAGTCCCTAGTAACTACAACAGTCACACCATTCCCTAGTAACTACAACAGTCACAACAGTCCCTAGTAACCACAACAGTCACATCTGTCCCTAGTAACTACAACAGTCACACCAGTCCCTAGTAACTAAAAAAGTCACATCTGTCCCTAGTAACTGCAACCGTCACAACAGTCCCTATTAACTACAACAGTCACACCAGTACCTAATAACTACAACAGTCACACCAGTCCCAAGTAACTACAACAGTCACACCAGTCCCTAGTTACTACAACAGTCAAACCAGTAGTTACTACAACAGTCACACCAGTCCCAAGTAACTACAACAGTCACGCCAGTCCCTAGTAACTACAACAGTCACATTTGTCACTAGTAAATACATCATTCACATTTGTCACTAGTAACTACAACATTCACATTTGTCACTAGTAACTACAACAGTCACATCTGTCCCTAGTAACTACAACAGTCAGATATGTCCCTAGTAACTATAAAAGTCACATTGGTCCCTAGTAACTACAACAGTCACACCAGTCCCTAGTAACTAAAACAGTCACACCAGTCCCAAGTAGCTACAACAGTCACACCAGTCCCTAGTAACTACAACAGTCACATCTGTCCCTAGTAACTACAACAGTCACACCAGTCCCTAGTAACTACAACAGTCACTCCAGTCCCTATTAGCTTCAACAGTCACACCAGTCCCTAGTCACTACAACAGTCACACCAGTCCCAAGTAGCTACAACAGTTACATCAGTCCCTTTTAACTATAACAGTCACACCAGTCCCTAGTCACTACAACAGTCACACCAGTACCTAGTAACTACAACAGTCACACCAGTCCCTAGTCACTACAACAGTCACACCAGTCCCTAGTAACTACAACAGTCACACCAGTCCCTAGTAACTACAAAAGTCACATCTGTCCCTAGTAACTACAACAGTCATAACAGTCCCTATTAACTACAACAGTCACACCAGTACCTAGTAACTACAACAGTCACACCAGTCCCTAGTAACTACAACATTCACATTTGTCACTAGTAACTACAACAGTCACATCTGTCCCTAGTAACTACAACAGTCACACCCGTCCCTCGTTACTACAACAGTCACACCAGTCCCTATTAACTACAACAGTCACACCAGTCCCTAGTAACTACAACAGTCAGATCTGTTCCTAGTAACTACAACAGTCACATATAATAAAGTTTTATGTCTGGCTTAAATAACCATATTTGCACCTTCTGACCTTGGATATAAACTGCAACAATCTTTTATTTTCTCCAGTCAGCAGCAGACCCATTGAATTACTTTTTGTCAATCTGAGTCGTGTTTTTTTTCTCCAACATGAAGCATTAGGAGAAATAGATAACTGCAATTATCCTTGTGCACCGAAAGAAAATGGCATTAACTGGTTGAAACGAAACAAGGTGACAGTATAGAATTACTGGCCAAAAGAACGGAGCAAAAAGCATTTTTTTTTGTTGTGTGACTAGACTGCTAGACCTGACGTGTATTGCGAGGGTAACACTTCTGCAGTCTATAATCAAAAGCAGAAGCATTGAAAATAAAGGACCAGTCAGTCTGATGGCAACTGACATGAACTGGTTTTAAAGTGTTCAGTCTTGTGATTTCCAAGGATACTTTTTAACAGCATTTCAAGTTTTTGCGAGAGCAGAAACCCATTGGTGAGATTTTAGGAGCAAGATATCTTTTCCATTATGCATCATACTGGCTGTAAATGCTTGACAAATTTATATTACTGTCATTGGACCTTCAATAAAACATAGATGTACTGTATCAAATAGCCCAGAAAGAGACTTCTCAAACACACACAGCCTCAAATACGCCATTTCATCCCTTGCCTGTATCTATCAAGGAGAACTACTATCTATGACGAACGTTTGAAGGCCTTCATTAAGCTTGTTTTGCTCAGTGATAAATACCGTCTGTGGGAATTTCTCCTATCATAACATACATCAGAAAAAGCTTTATGACATAAATGGCAAAGCTGATATCCAACAATAACAATGTCAGCTCTACAACACATCGAATTCCAAAGTTTTGTCCACTAGCATTACAGCAGATAGATCTGTTCCAGAAGACTGGGGGTGCTGTGTTGTCTAGCCAGTCTAATATCTTAATGAACCTTTGCCATGACAATATTAATATTGTAGAACATTGCGCCCGAAGCTGTCTGTATCTATCTATATTTAATCATTCCCTGAAGGCTATAGTGAATTAAAGTATAGCAAAAAAGCATTTCCTTATCAGTCCAAGTGGTAGCCTGATGTAACAGGCTGGAAGAATAACACAAGGTAATGACCAGAAGAGGCGGTGTCGGTCCATCTTATATCAACCTCCCCCAGATGGATTTACACATTGATACAGCAGCACTGCCTTAAGAGGGAATACCATCACAATTCAAGGTGGTGGTTCATTGCAAACTTACATCTCCAGGGTTTTTACAAATTCATACAGCTGGGCTGACAAGAGGAGGATACCATTACAAAATCATATGTCAGTCTATCTCATATCAACTCCACCATGGACTTACACATTCTTACAGTTGGGCTGACTAAAGCAGATTAACCCTTTACAAGATGTGAAGTTGATCCATCTTACATCGACACTTCCATGAATTTACACAGTCATACAGCAGGGCTGACTAGAGGGGATACCATTACAAAATGAAATGTTGGTCCATTTCATATAAACTTTGTCATGGACTGACACGTTCATACAGCTAGGCTGACTAGAGCAGTTACCAGATGAGGTCCTGGTCACCCCATGTGAACCCCTTACCTTGTGATCGGTGATGACATACAGCATGCTCAGGTCTCTGTTGAAGTGGATCTCGTTTTTGATGAGTTGGCCCACCTCAATTTCCAAATCCTGGACTACCGACACAATGTTGCCAGGAGACTGGATCACCTGCAGGGAAACAATATTTACAGGGTTTCATAAAAACACAAATTCAAGAGAAATCAATTTTCTACAAATAGTGAACATATAAATATAACTTCTACCTCAACGACTCAATGGAGAACAATCATTATGAGTACGGCTTTACAAATTCATTTGAATATTCATCCCGTAATCAGTATTTACTAAAAGCAACTACACGACCAGTGGAACACCAGTAAGCAACTCGAGGTAGAGGAAAGGAGAAGTGGGTATTAGTCTCTTACCTTTTTCAGAGTACCATCCTTGGTGCCCAGGAAGAGAAGAACTTGGTTGTTCTTTGTCGTGACAGCCACTGAGGTGAGGACAGTGTTAGGAAACTCCATGATGGGTGTCTGGAAGATAGGATTGCGACCCTGGATAGGACCGTATCGTCTGCTGGCATTTGTACTCCCGCAGTAGTCAGGTTCACCAGTCTGTAACAAACAGGTCAAAGGTCATTCATCATAATTTTGTATAAAGATATACATGAAACAACATATAAGTTTCACAATCATAGGCGTAACAAAGGAGATTAGTGTGTCCTCTGTTCTACTATCTCATCAACCTGCTTATAACATTTTATCACATAATCTGCCTGTTATCCAGTGAATTCGCCCATGTAATATTTTTACATATGTCAAAAATATATTTTTGCCATCCTTGCATTTTTGGCTTTAAAACCTGCCAAAATATAAGTTTTCTGAGTTATGTGATAAAATGTATCTTAAATTTGTTTTTATTTCATATGTGCTTTTATGAAACTTGTCTCGAAGTTTTAATATTTGCTCGCCAAGGCTCAAAAAAATAAAAACTCCTAAGACTCATTTCATAAAATCTCATATGAAATGAAAACCTAATTAAAGTCCTATATATCTTAACCATAAAACTTCTCCTCTGAACCCCAACTGGACACAGATTTCTCTCACAACCACTATAGTTTTCCCCATTCCAGACTCATTGGACAAATCTGCTAGGGGTTGGTAAACATTTCTGGATATTAACTAGTGGGTAACACCCTAGACAATATTTCACTGGTCAATCTTCTATTGATGACGTCAAGTAACAATGTTTTGTGACGTCATCTTCCATGGTGACGTCATAGTTTATAGCAATTGTTTCCCTGATCGTAAAAACAGGAACAATGTATTCCCAAAAGAAACACACGGTTTTCTAGATAAAGTATCTGAAATTTGTGGGAGAAAAAGGTCCTCAAACTCATGATGGTTGATTATCATGTGTATCTTATTCTCATTAAATATAAATACATACCTTAATTTACAATAATTATGAAACAAGTTATTTCAACTTATATTAATCCCTCTTGTTGGCCCGGATGTTAGCATGCAGGGGTCTTAGTGTGGGAGGAAACCGGAGTACCCGGAGAAAACCAACATGGTCGGGCAGGGACCCCATACCTTTTCATGGTGAAAGGCAAATGCGCCTTCCACTGCGCCACCAGGCCACCTTAACCCGACCACCCTACTCTTCATTAGTTAACTCATTCACCCCTGAAGACATATTTGAACTCTTCCAATTCAAAGTTTGGAATATTTCATTATGAAATGGCAGGGGTGAATGAGTTAATTTTCACTGGAGTTAGATACAAACATAACAACCAAAATAACACCACTCTTGGGAACCTCATTATCCACACTCCTGGTCAGGAAAAGATTTTACTTTCATACCCCGTGTGGATAACAAACACGAAACATTTGCGCCTGGAAGACCAGAAGTTACACATGTGTGATCCACACTGTAATTCATCATATGCAAAGTTAAATGTAACCAATTGACAAATATGTTTCTTTTATTTTCAGCAGTTAATTCTAGCAGCAGTCTGCCATTGTGTATACATATACATTACAATAACATCCTGTCACTGATTTACATAGAGTACATGTGTATGTCGTTGATTTTTCCTTAATATGTTTTTTGAAGAAAATGGAGGAGAAAAGGGATCATATCCCTTTTCTGAGGCTAAGAAACAGACAATTCTACTCTCCTTGGAGATTTTTGACAGTCCAACCTTCATCTGAAGCAGACGCAGGTTATTAACCTTTCAAGAACCACCTCTATAAGAGTCTCCTTACATAGCCATTTTGAACTGTTCCCTCTGGACTTTTCTGTCTAAATGTTCCAATATGAAGGAATTTAAATCATGTAATCCTTGTATATATAAACTCAAGTTAAGAATTGGTATCTGCTCAAATGACATTTGACTTTTTCCACAAAATGTATTGTCTGTCTGACATAACCATGTTGAATTGCTTCTGGGCTTTAGGTCGCTATAATCTGGCACCCTCCGCAGGTTTTTAGCCCCTAATGGCACACCAGCTTTGACTGTGCGTCTCCAATTTGATAGCAATTTGAAGCAGTGGTAGACCTATGTGAGTTTAAGTGTTTCACATCTTAATTTTTTTCTTTTTCTGATTCCTCTCCAAAAACAACCATTACAGCATTAATCTCCTCCTGTAAAACTTGATAAAAACTCAAGACTGTTGATTCGGGGTTTTAGTAGGCGGTGTTTTGGGCCGATGTTTGTCAGTATTGCTCCGTAAATCAGGAACATTCGCACAGCATCTCTTTTTAATTATCTTGATTTACATTTCAGATGAAATTAGCCAATATAAAATATGAGAACTGCACATGAAACAAAAACTTAACCTTGGCAAGTCGAAATGGTCATTAAAGTTTACGATTATTTGCCTGGTCAAGTGACGAGGAACCGCAAGATCTCCAAAGGTTCTTACTGTAGCACAGTCAGACCAATTAAAACAGATGCAAACCCCCATCACATGTTCCTGCCTTCTGAGATGGCTTATGAATTTTATATCCCTTTCATCTGATTATGGGTGAATGTGTACCAGCAATGGAATTTGCAAGTTTTTTGGCGGTAAAAATTACCGGGAATGCCAAACTTATAATTGGGTTGCCTTTGATATGCCTTGCCACTCGCCTCCTGTCACTCTTGGAGTAGCAATAGGCGGAATACCAGACAGAGCCAGAGTAAAGATCTGCCTAGCTCTTGTTCTTGTATAATGTTCCCAGAAGATCACGGCGTCACACCCTCGAGGTCATAACATCAAAGAATCTCCCTAAACATTGTCATCAGGAAACACTAGGAAAAAACTGCTAATGGACAAAATGAGTGATACAGTTGTATTAAACCTAGCACATATTTTAGACAAAGTATGTCTTGCAGAGATGATGAGGATGGAATCGCATAATTAATTACTGAAGTGATACATGAATTGCCCGACTGTATGTTATAATAGACCATGTCGTTGAGCTCCATCAGCAGAAGTACTTTGAGTTACACAGATTAACAACAGATGTTATGTTATTTGTCATCATAAAGACCGAAGCAACGAGTGGAGAAAGGAAAGGAAGAGCAAGGCTGGGGTAACAACTTACCCAGACGAGCCTATAGGTCTAGACCAATCATAACACTGGTACTGACGGGAAGGATATTTATTAAAATTTTACCAGTGAAATATCGGAAACGATCAATTTGATCAAAACTTATATTAGATTATTAATGTCATTTGACCTTTAGAAATGTAATAAATAGAAAATTTAATGGATTACCACATATATTTCACTTGTACAGCAGAATATACCTGTAATCTAACTCGTACTTTGCACTTGTAAAAATATCATTATTTTGCCAAACTCTTTTTTTAAAACATATATTTGGTATTCAATGGGAAGCCGGCTAGGTACCCACCTGGCAACATTGGTACTAGGGGAGGTAACTCAGGTACATATATCTGACAACATTGGAATTTGATGGGAAAGGGAGATAAATCTAGGTACACACCTGACAACATTGGTACTAGGGGAGGTAACTCAAGTACATATTTGTCTGACAATAGTGACAGCAGTTGTATATCATAAAAGGTAAATATTGTAAAATTTGTAGTTATTGAAGTTCCTAAAGATAAAAGTTGTCTTCTTTTGTTTCATCTAAACATAAATAAGTGTGAGGTATCTTTGTAGCTAGATGTGAAGGTGGATCTCTGATAACCCTTACAAACATCTGAAAATATTCTCAATGATAAGCACATTCACCATTTAATACTGAACGACTCCACCAGCCTGTCACAAGGGAAATAACTGTGATTACAATTGCCATGATTAAGATTGACTGGAGAAAAAGAAACTCCTTCTCCAGACCTGTAATTACCCTGTGCATGTTACGTGTGAAGTACACATGACCCAAAACATGTGATACATAAAGGAGAGCTCATTTAAAGGGGCATAACTCAGATTGTAGGAGAAGCATAAAAAGTTGGACATTCCAAAAAACTCATATGGTTTTGATATTATCTCGCATTTGGAAGCTGATAAAAACTTCAAAGGCATACTTTGATACATGTACATGTGGATATTGTATGTCATACTTGTTTATTTTGACATGGTGAAAAAGCTTAAGATGATGGCAGTCTACCGTGTTTGTTTTGTGGAAAGAGACACAGATTATCAGCCTGGATGTGTTGTTTTACATATGTTGTCAAATAAACAACCGGTCATTTGAGTCACCATCATGTAACGTTTTCCGACTACCATCTGTTTATCATCAGTGTTGATAGTACATCAAACCCCTGACTCTCTCAACATTCAAAACTAACTTAAGTCTAGACATAATTGTATTACTGTTAAGTTTATTTACAGCTTTGTGCACTTTATATATATAAATATGAAATAAAAAAAATAAACTTCCTGATCTTATCTATTTTACAAAAATTATGAGACAAGTTTTATCAGCTTATATTACTTAATCACTCTTGTTGGCTCTAATTGAATCAAGTGCACAGGAAGTCTTAATGTGGAGGAATCCGGAGTACCAGAAGTCACATGAGCAGGCAGGTGACCAAATACGTTTTCACGTCTGATTGGGGAACTTGATGCTAGACATCTTAATAAAAGGACAGTGTGCTGTTTACATTGCCACCCGACAACTCATGAACTATTTGACTAGGTCACATGACGTTCTATTAGGTAAGATCATGTGACACTATTAGACTACAGTTTACATAACACGAAGACTTTGTCACATGACACTTTGAGACTAGGTCACATCATACTGATAGTCAAAGTCAATGACACCTTAGGGAGAAAATATGTGACACTTTTGGGAAACATCAGATGTGACCCTTAGTTAATTTGTCATAATTAAGACACCGTTGGACAAATTCATGTGGCACTCTTTGGAACACATATGTCATGAGATTTTGTTGAATGAAGTCGTTAAGTCAACAACAGATGTAATCCTTTGGACTTTGTCACAGACCACTGTTGTTCAGCATTTGTTGTGAAACTTCAAACATGTCACATTATTTGAACAAAGTTGTGTAACTCTGTCAATGGACCATAAATCATGATAATTTTGGTCAATAGCGTCATGTGACACTGTTAGAAACAATCAGATGTA